GCTTGTAGAAATGGAATCACGGCTGGCAAATCCATAAAACCACTGCTCGAAAAATTCAGTCGCGGCTCGCCAAGTAGATATATTCCATACTAGGTACCTAGCATTATTCCTACTAGCCTAGCCTAGTGTCAAAATTTTCAATTTCAGAAACTGGATACCATACTAGCCATACGTAAAGCCTAAGCTGACGATCGTAACTTCGTAGGGTTTGCTCGTTTTTTTTTATTAACCTGTCTGTGGAGCCAGGAGACTTGAATGCATGCATTTTAGCATTTATTTTAAATGTTGACAAGTCTGACTGTCAAGTGTCGACCAACCATAGGGTAAACACGGTATATTCCGACACATTAAGGACGTAGCAAGAAATGAATGGCTATAAAAATATCACCGTATGCGCAACTTGAGTTCTGACTGCTTTACGTCACTCTCAAAACCCCACTAGGCACCAGCAAATAGCAATGATGATACATCACAAACTGTTGCCATATTTATTTAAAAGCCTTTAGAATTCAAACCTACAAAATCCCTGAATTCTGATGCTGTGTGTGACTAAATTTGGCATATTGTGAGAGTGAGACTAATTCCGGCGCGGTGGCGCCCTGTGTGAGCTGTATCAGAATACAACACAGCTCGGAACGAGCTTAATTGAAAAATTTTAATTTTTTAATTAGGCTTTTAATTAAGAGCTATTAAGCTTTTAATTAAGAAAATTTTAATTTACAGCTCGAAACAAACTGTGTATGTCTAATTCCAAGCTGTGTCGGAATTAATTTTTCTGTGTCTAAAACCGTCACTTAACTTAATCATCTATTAATTTATTTACCACTTGAAAATTGAAATCAGCAAATACAAGTAACTTAAATGATTCATAATATATTCACAGACTTATTTAAAAATCTCAAACCACCATATTCTTTCTACACAAACAGTTTATCGCTATTTGGTACAGCAAGGTCAGCCATCAACTTTGACACATTTTTTGACGTTCTCACTGGGTGACGTTCACTGTCTCTCTTTGGATCTCAACATTTTCCTGCCAGATGGCCCAGGCCTAGTGTTTTGGCAATATTATGGTGCGCAATAGTATGACGTCACTATTTCAACCATCAACGAATTACGAATGCGTGGAACTAAGACAAAGCTTAATATAAAGGAAAAAATTTGAGAAGTGTCGGAATTACCCATGATGTTGGAATATACCACATTTACCCTATTCTTTTATCTATTAGAACTGCTATATTATTTGACACTGGAGGTCTGGAAATAACACTGTACTGTAATAACTGTATTATTAAGGTTTGTTAGGAAAACTTTTCCCTTGATAGTCCTTGGAAATAACTTCTTAGGATACTAGCATAAAAGCTTACAACTAGGAGTAGGAGCAAAACCCAAACAGGCCAAACTACATTTAAATTACATTCTACATCCCGAGTCCAGACTCTCAATTCCCTTGCTAGGAGTACTAGCATAAGAATTTGAAGCCAGTAGGGTGGCCCTACTGGCTGCAGGGAAAAATTTTTTCCCTGCAATTTTAGGGAAATAGGCAAAGGCATTTGACTCTGAGGCCATACACATTCATTCTATATAGGCATTGAGGCCATACACATTCATTCTTCAGGTGCTGAAGAGTAGGCCCAATGTGGCCTGTCTCAGATTTTTGTACTCTCTGTGACTTGTCCACAGGAGATCTAAAAACAGGTCCTTTGACCAGATTAATTCATGTACAAACTTTTGCTTTCTTCTTTTAATATGGCTTCTCTTGACTTACAGGTTTCCAATTAACTGTCACTTTAAATATTTTTGTGTAAATTTGCCTACCTATCTCAGGAGCATCAGTGATCTATCTCAGTGCATCACTTCATAAAATGGCATCAGTGAGTAGTTTCTAAAAAATTAGTGCCTTGATTTGTATATTTGATTATTTGTTAGAGATAGATATAAATTTATGATTGAATTTTTTTTTCATGGTGCATTCTTTGAGGCTATTTTTTTCATTGGTCAAGTTGATATTATAAGAGAAGTTGATGTCTTTTCACTATATTGTGCTTACTTAACAAAATAATAATGATCCTGCCATTTAATAATAATAATAATGATCCTCACTTAACAAAATAATAATGATCCTGCCATTCTCAATTGTTTGTTATCTTGCAGATTCTTGGAGGAAATGCAGAGGAGCGAGAAATTACCCGCATTGAGCGAATTGGTGCTCACTCTCATATTAGAGGCCTTGGGCTCACTGATGACCTCACTGCTAAGCAATCAGCTCAAGGGATGGTTGGCCAAGTCAAGGTGAGGCTGCCTTCAAGGCTTCAATGCAGCATACATTGATTGCACCCAAACTTATCTTGGGTTTCAAATTATTAACTAACTTACCTATCAGAGTTGCTATGCTCTGATGTCACAGCTGTGAAGAATTTGCCTCAATCAAATTGAATAGATGAAAAAGCTTCAAACTTAATTAACTCTCAAAATTGTTTTATGGCCAAACACACCTCCACTTATATTCTACTGAACTCCTGTGCATTGCAGGCTCGAAGAGCTGCTGGTGTTGTACAGAAGATGATCAGGGAGGGCAAACTCTCAGGGCAGGCTGTATTGATTGCGGGGCAGCCTGGCACTGGAAAAACTGCCCTAGCAATGGCTCTTGCTCAGTCACTCGGCTCTGACACGCCGTTTACTGCTCTTTCTGCTTCCGAAATTTACAGGTACTATAAATCTTATGTAATTCATCAGTACAAGCAATTTGCTGCCTGATACATCGTTTGAAGACGTCAGTTAACTTCATACATTTCAAAATTTCCACTTGCACTTTGCATTTTGAACAGTTACTGTAAAAAATTACACTGGACTTGAAACAATTCATATAACTTCATTCATAACATTGATAAATATAGGTTAAAGTGCCTAGTAAGACAAATTGTGTTGCTTTATTTAATCATCTTCTTGTGTGTTAGTAGCATCATTTACTACTAGCTGGTTAACCCACCATTGTCGGGGCTCATTAATCCCTTATCAGGCCTTATGTGTTAGAGTCTCACTATCCCGAATCCCATTAATAATATACCGGTAGCTATGGGTAATGTATGATAATCAATGGAATAACCACTCAAACTTACCTTCAACATAAAAATCTTTTTTGAACTCTTGTTTCAAAATAAGAAATTAATGAATTTTTTATTTTATAATTGAAATAGATAGACAACACACAAGCTTTGACAAATACGTACAAGATGATAAAAATGCATAGACTTTATCTTTCAGTGTCACTGTTTTGCTCCACATTCTCATGTTTTTAGGGTAGCGAATATTTTTTTAAGCCTACATCATTGCTTATAGATAATGGATTATCAAATCAATTTGATTCTAATTTATTAATTTCAGATTTCATACTCAATTAGTGAACATGACGAAGGCTCTTGGTGTTATTTCATGCATACACAACGCGACCAATTTTATTCTTGATCTTTGATCCTTATCACTTATTTGTATTGCTGATTTGTTGGTCATATTTTCTCAATCTCCTGCACTGCATTATTAGCCTCTTACTTCCTCAGCTTGGGCTTGTCAAAAACCGAAGTGCTGACACAGGCGTTCCGTCGTTCTATTGGTGTGCGCATCAAGGAAGAGACAGAAATCATAGAGGGAGAGGTAGTGGAAGTGCAAATTGATCGCCCAGTGTCTGGCAGTGGACCTAAAGTGGGCAAACTTGCTCTCAAAACCACCGAAATGGAAACCATCTATGACCTTGGCAACAAGCTCATTGAATCTCTGACTAAGGAAAAGGTTTGTGTGGCGTATTCCTATTTTTAACGAAGTGAAAAGCTTCCAGTTCAATCATTTTGGCAATGATGATGACAATCGTAACAAACAACTATATTATATATATGTTCTCGAATGCTAAATTTTTAGTAATTTAATGGCAATAGAGAAATAGGTAAGTAGATTTTGATATATTGAATATATCAGAAAATCTAAGGAAATCAATTGTATTCACTCCCTAAAACATTTAGGTACAAGCGGGCGATGTGATCACGATTGATAAAGCCACTGGCAAGATAAACAAACTCGGTCGCTCCTTCACCCGTGCACGAGATTATGACGCTACTGGTCCACAAACAAGGTACTTATTGGGGGCTAATACATTTTTAATACCAGGTAAATGTAACAAAGATATCTAACAGTTTGGTTTGGTAGTTGTGATGAAAACATCTCTTACAATTTTTCAGTCCGGTTATTTGTGTACTTACTACTTTAAAGTGTAACTCTTTAATTAATACCTACTAATAATACGAATTTTTTCCTACGATTCTTAATCGAATTCACGGCAATTCAGGTTCGTTCAGTGTCCAGAAGGGGAACTGCAGAAACGCAAAGAAGTAGTTCACACCGTCACTCTGCACGAGATCGACGTTATTAACAACAGAACGCAAGGTTTCCTGGCTCTATTCTCTGGTCAGTAATGTTAGAATTATACCCTTGTTCGTCATCAATATTTTTTTGAAAAGCTGTTATATAAAGCTTTAGCGCAAGCTGGCTTTTAACATCATAAATACTTTTTGCAGTACATAGTAACGTAACTTCCAGGACTATCCCGGAGTGAAAATAAATTGATTTTGTAATTTTTTCCTGAATTTATTCTAGCGCTTCTATGTACAATTTTGCAAGAAATTGCTGACTTGTTACTGCAATGTCACTTCTCATTTCAATGGTGTGAATTTCAGGAGACACCGGAGAAGTCAAAACGGAAGTGCGTCAGCAAATCAACAGCAAAGTGGCCGAGTGGCGGGAAGAGGGCAAGGCTGAACTCGTCCCTGGAGTGCTCTTCATTGATGAGGTCTTGCATGCATTTGTCAGGTTTACAATTCTATTTACTTGGTCTGTGAATACCCTGAGCCACAAGGTTTACTTCGGTGTCTTCATGCCTGGTACCTGAACCTAGATACGTCAAAATTCGACTGTTGATTATCACTCAAACTTTAAGCCTCTAATTTAATTGAACTGCGTAAATATCGTTTATGGTTAACTAATCAATGTAATAATGAATCAAGTTTACCCACGCAGGTGCACATGTTAGACCTAGAGTGCTTCTCGTGGGTGAATAGAGCACTGGAGGAAGAACTTGCACCGGTTCTCATTGTGGCAACGAACCGCGGCATCACGACCATCAGAGGCACAAACAACAAAGCGCCTCACGGCCTGCCTCTCGATCTCCTCGACAGGATGGTCATCATTCGCACGGACCCATACTCGCAGAGTGAAATAAAACAAATCCTCAAAATCAGGTTGGTTATTTTATAAAGAACCGGAGTTGTCATGAAATATTGCTATTAACAAATCTATTTCATTCTCTCATATATTTTCTCGCTATGATATGAGGAATACTTGCAATTGTAAGCAGATCAATTTTTGCGTTTTGTAAATAATGAAATTTTTTGGCAAGTGCGCAAGGTATTCCGTGGTGTAATTACGTCTTGCATTTTTTCCATTTAAATTAATATTGAATAAAAAAAATTCTTAACGAATTGCTCTCTGTGTGTATCTATGTCTGGTTAAAAATGAGGCCAGTTTTTTTATTAACTTCTTTTGAGGTTAACTTCTCAAGCTTTCTGATAGAAGATACCTACAATAATGGGGTTAGCATTCTTAAAATTTGTCCAAATGGAAGGTTAAGTAAATCCGGCGACGCGGTTTGCTCATCACGGAGCATCTACCGGTAATAAGGTCAAGCAGCTGAGTAGACGAGGTGTTTACAGGTTGGCTGCAGAGAGAAGACCAGTTTAAGTAGTGAACTAAGCTTTGAGTAAAGTTGTTGCACAGTCCAATGTACAGTCATTCTAGTTATGAAGTTTCAGGGTGCGTTGAGAAACCCACCCTGAAACATGAAAACGTGGGTATATGTCAAACTCGTCCGTTTACAAGGACCATTCAATTTTCTGAGGTTACGCGGTATTGTACTTGGTGAATAAATAATTTGTGCATTATTCATGTGTAGATGTGAAGAGGAAGACAGCGATATTGCCGAAGACGCTCTGACGGTGCTAACCAAGATCGGTGTGGAAACTTCGTTGCGGTACTCGATCCAACTCATTGTCCTGGCCAGCCTTGCGGCTTCCAAGAGGAGTTCTCAGCAGGTACTTGCCATTACTAACTATAGCTGCCTACTTCATTTACTTACAATAAACTTACGTAAACTATTCAAATATAGTTTTACTCTTTGAAAAGATGTCTCTTTGAAGATTACTTGATCAATCTTTTCCGGTACATTATACGGAATAAAATGTATAAAAAAAAATTTTAAAGACCACGTTTTTCATGTGGACTCAAAAGTAGAAAATAATTTTTCGGCAGCTACTGATCTCTGTTTGCTTTCATTCTCTTGGTCTTTTGTATTTCAGTTAAAATATTTTACAACATCTAAAACGAAAAACGTGACCTGCTTGTGAGTTCCTTTAGAGTTTATACGCCTGGAAACGTGCAACAAATTATTGATTATTGTATTGTTAACGGGAGCTGAGCTTCCCTAAAAGTTTCAGAGCGCTAGCTAATGGGAAAGTTGGTGAAATATCGATTGCAAGATTTGATCATCACAGACACGAAAGCGAGCTAAGAAAAACGTGGTAAAATGTATGCTTTCATGCTCGAACCTTCGGTTTGCTAACCTAGGAAAATTTTGTTGAGTTGCATAAGTTAACCAGTTAAGGCAGTATACGCAGGTTACAGTAATGACCGGCGATACGAAACTTGACTTATCATTAAAAATGATTTGAACCGAACATTGAATGCATTCATTGACACGGAAAAAATTTAAATGATAATAAATAGAACTTCTTTCGAGTAGATCACGGTGCAGGACGTTAAGAAAGTCTACCAGCTGTTTATCGACGAGGCTCGGTGTACGCAGTTCCTCAAAGAGTACGAAGACGAGTTCATGTTCGACGAGGGCGACCAATCCGCAGGTTAGATATCCTTTAATTCTGTTCAAAAAATATTGGTGAATTTTGATAGGCATGCTCTTGATTATAAATTAAATCAGTTTGTGAAGAAACCCTTGAATAGCCTCTGAATACAACAAGAGGGTATCGGTAGGCTGAGAACGCAAAACAGACTAGAAGCTTCGTGGCAGTGTGATAACTTCCTTGCATTTCATTTGCAGAGCCGACGGCCATGGAGGTCTAGTTCACCAGTTAAGGGAATAGCGTCACTGTGAACGGACAAAAATATTCAACTGGTTGAAATTCGCCACCAGTGAAGTCATAATGAACTAGATGTTTCCCCGGTGAAATAAATTTCAACTGAATAATAATTACGCAATAAGCAGCGTTTATATATCCCGTGATAAATCATGCAGGTCTGTGAATCGGGGCGCATGCTGTGCGCCAGCTCTGCCCAATTTCACACTCGATTCATATTCCTTTCCGTGGGTAACATCTATGAAGGGCATGGCAGCCTACGAAGTCAACTGCTCGAAACCAGAACGCCGGTTGTCCACAGCCACCCTTTAAATGATGAAGGTCAGCATGGCCATACTGTATCTGGTCTAGCCCACACAAATTGCGACGTTTTTCCACCCAAAACAAACCCGAGGGGATGTAACTTACCCTTATTGGCTTCAGGAAGTTAGAAAGGCAGTTCAAGCGTGCTGATCGAGCTATTCATTGGTAGCAAGAATGTTGTGAGCCGAGAAAGCGTGATGAGGTTGTGCCAGAAGAGGTTAGGTAGGGTGCGGAACTGCCTGTTCATGTGAGAGTATTGGCTGATGCCCAATGCGCTATTATCTCTGAGCAGTGCGTCAGTAGTTTAGATTGCAGTGCTCTAACGTAGTCTGCAGCTGCTAGATGTGTGGCTGTGTATAGTTATAGCATGCTGAGGCTGGGGATCATCTCCTGTGCTTATTTAAGAGTTATATTTAAATTTTAAATTGGCGCAGCCTACGGCTGCGCCAATAGCACTATCTGGCAATTGCCTAGTTTGATTTGCGAATTTAACAAGAGCCGTAGCAACATAAACGAATAATCTGAAATACGAAAAATTGGCTTCTTTCAGTGCATACTAGACGACCTATACCAAGAACCGTTAACCAATTCAAAATTGCCTGCGTTTATTGGGCACAGGAACGGGCGTTGTTTCATTTGCGCATAAATCCTGTCACGAAGCGTGCCTGATCGCACGCAAGCAGTCGGCTTCCAGCCCATCTCCGCTATATGAAACTACTGAGGGGTGACTGTCTCAATACTCAACGCCGCGACATTAACTGTAGAATGTTTGAGTACATTTCACGTGAACTAGGAACACTGAAAGTTTGAAAAAAATATTTACGGCCCTATTAGATTAAAGCCTGTCTCGTCGCACCAACATACTGAACACAGTACCTCCACCCCAAGGCAAAACCAGCACAAAAAAATAATTGCACACAATTATGGCAGTTAGAACGCTGACGCTAGCCGGCAACAACGAAGTCCTTGGACACCCACCACCTGCCATAAGCAGCACAGAAACACAGCTCTCTAGACTGGAGAGAGTACACCTAGCCAGGCTGCGCTGCGGCCACCACCCTTCACTACAATCATACGCAAACAGAATAGGCCAAGCAGACACAGACACCTGCCCATACTGCCAGAGAGCTCCCCACACAATCACTCACATTCTCCTGGAATGTCCACTCTGGCAGGACCTCAGACAACAACACCACATAACCTCGACCATACAGCTCTGGAGCGACCCCTGTCGGTGGTGTCGTACTTGCTCGAGGGGAGTCTTATAAAAACGAGACCGGAGAACCACAACAATAACTCATTACTGGGAAACGCCAGCGTTATGATGAGATATTCTCGCGCCTCCGGCAGAAGTCTTCGGAGTCGTGACCTTACGAACAATGCTTACAGCTTGACCTAGAACAAGGCAAAACTTCTCGAGCACAAATACCAGCACGAACGCATATGAATGAACCATCTGAAATTCTGAGCTTTTCTTATGTAGCCTTTGTATTGGAAAGCTAGACTATTGATCAGCAACGATTAGTTGCCCCCGCATCAAAATTTCTTGTACCACGAAAACGCCTAAACCCTGATCGGGTTGCAGTTCTAGACGCATCTACCGCACTTTGTACAATTTGTTCAGGTAATATTCAATTAGGATTTGCAGAGCTTAGGTGACGTTGAGCGTACGACTGGCCTTCGCTTAATTCGGCGTTTATGAAAGGGGTGCTTAAACCTCGTCGAGGCTCGATCATTCGCATTTAGTCAATCTTCGTCTAAAATAGCGTTGTTACTGTGGCTGTGGCCATCGAAATTTCTGTACAGAACCTATTTCATACGGTAGATGGCGTCGTATAGAAATGGACATACAAGATAAACACCACATTTCCGAGGATACATTTACTGCCAAAAATTTCATAAAATTTCGCTATCCTCGTTGATCCCGACAAGTGGCGCGAGCTCGCTCAGACAAGTGCAGTTGTCCACTTCTTCCGCACTTGCCCCCAGGACAACTGCTTCTTTAATGCTTCTTAGGAGGGAAGGTCATCAAGCGACATGTCACGCCCACTTCACGATCATCGGCAATATTGTAGATTTTTTTTTTTTGTTGATGTCCTTGAAAATTTTAGATAGGAAAAGATCTACGCGTGCACGGTATCTAAGCACGATCGTAGCACACTCTAAATTAAGGACTCGAACGAGGACATCACACATTCGCATCCTGAGCACACGCGCTACAATGGCAGCTAAAAGCCAACAGCTTTAGAGCAACTTGCGGTCGTTTCAATCTTATTGCACTTTTCGAATCACCACTGAGAATGTAGATGCCAACTTTAGGACTGTCTAATCAGATCTCTTAGAACTCTATACGACTCAAAAATTCCGACGTTACTACAAACGTTTATCAGTCACGAACGTAGAAGTACCGCGAGTTTCCCTCCTGCTTGTCCGATCAGAGCGACATATTTCGCCCAGAATCTTCACAGATTTAGATTGAAGCTGCCATAGTTTCGTCATGTGCAGGGCTCGATGCTAAGAAGGATGAAGCACTCCAACCGGCACAATTATCAGGTGAAGTGACGTGGTCGATGGTGCATTGTCACTGCTTCACCGAAGATGTTTGAGAAAGTTAAGGAAGGAAAGATCAAGAACTTTACAGAGCCCATGTTAGAATGCCGATTGGAGGTTGCTGGCGAGCTGACAGATTCCGTTGCATTAAATAGAAAAAAACTTCAACTAGTATTATTACTAGCTATCCGAGCATAAAGAAATCGTCCATGTACGAAGGGCGGTGCGAAGCACACTATATAGATGCACGAATCATTTGAACTTCAAAAGGAAATGGCTTCAAACACTCGAGTACAGAGTTCATAGATAAGCTATCTACTAACACTAGCATAATATTACACCACTTCATTCAACGGCTCTCTTCTGAAAGTTAGAGACAAAAGAATACCTTTATTTCAGCGGCATGCCATCCAAACCTCAAGTTCTCACGTCTAAGTCTTGCTAACTGAAGTAAGGTTGCGATTTGTAGTGGCGGCTTGAACGATGACGGTCCAAAGGCAGTGTCGCAAACAGAGCTCGCCTTCCGATTGCAGCGCTGCCCAAGCCTTCATCGTGTCAGACACACGGTACAAAAATAGATATACAAAAACTCGCGATCACGAGAAATCCTTTATACAAAGAGGATTACTTTCAATTTTCCAATTTACTGTATTTCCGTGAAGAGCGTATGAAGTATAATACACTAACAAAGATATTAAATAAAGGCCAATTTTCAGGCATAATGAATTGGGCAAGAATTTTCTTAGCAAAATTGATTGAAATGTCAAATGTCAAAATAATGCACTGACAAAGTCTTTTTCAAACACTAGGGGACTTATAGATTCGAGCTGTCCTTTCAGCTGGAATAAACAACATCGTCACCACTTCACTCTCTCCTCTTATTACTATCGCTTCACTTCGAAGCTTCTTCCTCCAAGTGATGTTCTGCCACGTATAAGGACGGGTCGATTATCTGACGGAATAAATACTAGTTAAAGACTATTCATGTCCGGCTGAATGCGTTGCTCGAGAACTTTACTTCCAAGCAAGTTGGACTGCAGGCATTATGAATTTTAACTGTTAGCGGGCCTGTTCATCTACTACATTCCATTATTTCGGTGTTATTTCAGATTCCTGGTGAAAATGCTTCCCAATGCTTCTTAAAAACGCTCAAATAAGAGCGCAGTTCATGGCGCAACAAAAACTTTTTTAAAGTACTAAGAAACAAACATACCTTGGGGATTGGCTTTACTTCAGTGCCGAGCTCGTTCTCGATGCGGTTCAGGCAGAATCTGTCTTCGAAGGTTATCAAGTTGATTGCAATACCAAGATGGCCAAACCGACCCGATCGTCCAATGCGGTGAAGATAAGTTTCCGCCATTTTCGGCAAATCAAAATTAATTACGACGTTGACCGCTTGAATGTCGATGCCTCTTGTGAAAAGGTCTGAGAGAAACAAGGGAACGCTATAGTGAGCGCTAAATCTAAAAAAAGTGGTAATTTATCGAAAAACGGCAAACCATCAATTTTCAAACAAAATGGGAATGTTATTTTATGCAAAAAAGTTGGTTTCACGAGTAATAATCAGAAAAGAGTTTCATTACGGAAATTTGATTGAAGAATCTACTAAAGACTTGCCAGAAGATCTAAGGAGAGGCAACCACATTACTAGTTGTGCAGAAGGAAATTGATCTGACCAGAGCATACGAGGTTCCTGCAGAGACCGGCGCGGAAGTCGTGGAAGACTCTGTTGCGGTGCGCCTGGTTCATCTTTGCATGAATGTAGTAGCAGGAGTAGCCGAGGTCCGTGATTTTCTTCGCTAACAGCTCCACGCGTTGGGTTGAGTTGCAGAATATGATGCTCTGGTTGATTTGAAGCTGAAAGGAGAAATCGAGCTAATTGATAGGGAAGAAATAAAGTAGTCCAAATATTGGAAATTCTTAAAAAAAATGCTTCAACCCACCTCTAAGGAACTTTCAAAGAGTAGTTTCTATTCCAGTACTGTCTCCTGTCAAATTCAATTCTTCAACGCACCACTATACTCCCAATATGAAATTCAGCGGAAAAATCGTGGTAATAGTGCGTGTATTCGTTAGCTGCAACTTAGCCATTCTTTATTCTTCATTCGCCCAATATTGCAGGGCGATTCACCGATGAAATTGGTGAATTTGAAAGGTGCTTTATTCATCAAATACCAAGTTCACCAAGAAAGATTTGAAACCTTCGAATGAATTCATGAGCACTATGGAGAACCCAATTGTCAATCAGGCGAATGCTCTAACGTAGGCTATCTCACCTTTGAGAAGAGCGTATTCAAGCAATGAACTTTTTGCCTCTCCTGTACGTAAGCGTAATATTGAGTGACTCCTTTGAGCGTCAACTCGTCCATGAGGTTTATCTCGTACGGGGATCTGATGGTAATCAATAATTAGACGTGCATCAAATTTATCTTCTGACACTCCAAGCAAAAAATATGACAGCCAACGAAACTACTTCACTTTTTAGTCTCGCTTCCTTATACCAATGCGAGTATCAGGCGAGACGTTCTACGCACTGAAAGTCGTCCGAATGAATCTAGTAACTGGTGTGATGGGAATGTGCTTCATTTATTCCCTTTTCTGAAAAAAGTTTGTTCATTGGCTACTATTCATTGATTAGCTTCAAGTCTTTCATAATTCAGCTTCAAGCGCTGTATCCACCAGGACCAGCGCCTCCACTGGCACCTGCAGTAAGAATCCTTACCTTAAGTGTTTCTTCATGAACTGTTCAACTGTTAGCGGGAAAGTGGCCGAGTAGAGCAAAATTTGCCGTTCAGAGGGCAGGTAAGAGATCAGACGATCAAGCATTCCTCTGAAGTCATGAGATAACAACTTGTCGGCCTGTAGAACGAATAAAATTAAGAACGTCTGAAGATTTTAAGAGAGCATGTCAAGCTTCGAAAATTACAAAATTTTGGCCAAGACCGGCGAAAACGCTGGACTCCAATTTTCAGTCATGTTTCAAACATAAAATAGTCAAGTGTGTCAGCGGAGTGATGAATATAAGGCCAACACTGCTGATATTTTCTCCGCTTGATTCTAAACGGGTGGTCAATATGATGAAAATTTAAAATTTCGCAGCAAATTTCTAATGACTAAACCAGTTAATCAAGCCAAACTCACCTCGTCCAGCACCAGCATCTTGCAGTGGTCCATCTTCGCGATGTTTTTTTCTGTCAAGTCCAGTATTCTGCCAGGAGTTGCTATTATTGCATGGACTCCTTCGTACACTCTCATGATATCGTCCTGCACGAGGAAGTATTTATTAAAACTTTCACAGATTCTTTATAAAAAATCCAGAAAACCAGCCTCCATTACTGAAAAAGTAGCCGCAGTGGTGTAATGCATTTCATTCACCAGAATCTGAAATTTATGCTCTAAGGAGCTCTCGTTGTGATCCACATCGACTAGTTACACTTTAGGAAGGACCGATTTACGACAACTTTTACTAGAAGCTAAGACGAGCTATTCCTCAACATATTGGTAGTTGCGCCAAAATACCTTTCACAAATCGTTACGTGACAATGGTGACTAAATTTAGACAAGCCTGGTGAACGTCTCGGTCGGATTTGGCTATGTATTATCGCAAAGCAATTTCAGTGACTTCTACAAAATTGTGTAGGCTAATCGCTAGGTTACCTAGGACAGCTACATAATTGTCACCGAGCCACTGCAGTATGCAATTAGCGTCGTTATCGAGGGACTACGTCAAGCAATTCTAACGAAATACTTGCAGGAATAAGTAAATTTCCAGACCTTGTGACCCAACTATTTATTATACTCTACTCTCATGACAACCTTTCAATGTTGCGTGAATAACCCTTTCACAACTGCTGTGCTAAGTTCACAATAACTACTACATCACTTTCATCGTTTTTACTACGTCTAGTTTTCCGCTGAAGTAAAATTAATGTAAAAAGAAATCATTACCTGAAGATTTGTGCCTCCGGTAGTGACCATGACTTTGACGCCAACATGTTTAGCGAGTTCATTACAAATGTGACTAGTTTGTAGAGCCAATTCTCGGGTGGGTACGATTACAAGAGCTTGAATCTTGGGAAGCGAAGGGTTAATCTGAGCGAAAAGGAGAAAGGATAATCAGAATTACAGGAGCATCTGAAAGAATTGGCACCAACTCAAAGCTCGTCTTCCAGTCATATTCTTCAAACTACTCCTACTCAAAATTAGGAGGAAAAGACAAGAGACCGTTTACTGAAATTGTGGATTCTCAGAGTTCATAGGCAATATGTAGCTCACAGTTCACGCATTAAAATTTCGTTTAGCTCTACAGAGACCTCGACTACACTGATTAATCTTTTTAATTAAGGCAACTTATCTGACCGTTACAAATGCAGGATAGATTCTAAATTAGAAGATGAAGTAGCTAGGCGAGAAAATTAACTTACCCTTTCAACAAGAGGGATGGAATAAGCACCAGTTTTGCCAGTGCCGTTTTTAGCTCTGGCAAGAATATCTCTGCCGGTTAAGGCTAGGGGAATGGATGCTTCTTGTATAGGAGATGGTCGCTCCCAGCCTTTCTCAAATATTCCCATTAGCAATGGTCTGGACAGGCAAAAATCTTCAAATTCTATTCCTTTAGTGTCGGTCACATCCTGTAAATTTAAAGGATTTTAATTAGTTCATATATTAGTTCACTAATACGGGTTCTTCAATAGCTTGTTACTTTCAATTGAGTCAAATCGAGCACACAGAAACTTACCGATGTTTTTTTCCTTCTGTCCTTAGGGGGAATAGGGATACTCGACTTCCAAGACTTGTCATCAGAGCTGAAAAAGAAAATAAATCAATTATATTAGCAACGTTTAAATGATTGACTTAACATCAGGACATGAACAACAGTTTCTCAAAGCATGAATGCCCAACCCTTTTTTACATGAAGAAAAAGAAATTACGATCCGTTTCAACACCACAAAATAACCTTACTCTTAATGCAAAGATTTGGATTTATATGCAAGCTTTGTATCCGGAGGTCAGTATTATACTTACGGTGGTGCTGAATTAGGTTTGACATTTGGCTTCAAGGGGCCAGTGTGATTAACATGGTTATTTGTGTCTGTCATGATGGCTGTGCAGCAGCTTTCACCACCACCTGAAATTAGGACAAAAATAAGCTTTAAGATCTGTATTGTTCCTAACGTTTGTCAGCTTTCAGAGCGAAAAATTCACTCAAGATAAATAAATGTTCAATTTGTAGACGCCTTTTCAAAAACCTCGGGTGATCAATGAGTAATGAGCTCGTGATTACACCTGGTCAAGTTCAATATTTCATTTGCGGTACAATTTTGGACAAAACCGTCACTGCTGCACTGATTGTCATATCAAGTTAAAAATACTGGAAATTCAAATCTATGTAACATTCGAGGCAACTTCAGTTTCCTACAATAAAAAAAATACCTGCACCTAGACCTTTCACTGCTTTTTTGGAAGTCGTGCTATAGCTAAGTGTTATGCACTAAAGCACTGAAGTTACCAAGTTAGCTTTAGTGCAGTTAGTTACCAAGTTAGTTACCTCGGTACTTAGTTAGCAAATCAGATCTCAAAGATTTTACCATTTTGAAGCAATTTAAACTCTAGAAATTATGCTCTTCTTTGGCTGATCTGAGTATACATTTGCCTACTTTCTGCACTCCGAAAAAATCTTCGCTGTCAATCCGTGAAAAATTCCTACCAATCCAACAGATCTGATGCAACTGTTCACTTCTAGAAATGACAGTATAAGAATAGTGGTTCGTATCCAGCCTATTCTAGAAACCAGGTCAAGGGCAATAATAAAGGAGACCATACTAAAACTTGTGGCTAATTTTGCCTAATATTTGGTCCTAAGTTCATCTCCCAGAAAAAAATGGCATCCTTAAGCCTATAATTATTCAAAATTTTGCTCAATTCTTGAGATTATAATCTAGCTAGGGAACTTCCAAAATATCACTCAAACATGGCCTAGGAATTTTATATTTATAAACGACAGATTCAACATATGTGCACTGAAGATAGATGTACACTGATGATCCATTAGATAACATCAGTTATCTGATGAAATTTCTACTGGCAAAATGTAATAAGACCAAAACGGCACAATTAAGCCTTCACATCAATAAATCAACTGATGAAACTCTTGCATTCATCCAACTTGATCTAACACATTGTTACACTTTAGTATTCTTACTCCTCAAAGAAGTTATACCATCTGGTAGCATAGTTTCTAACAACAGACGTATTTGGAATCTGTTCATTTTTAATTTTGTCTCTTCACACAATACAGTATAAACATATCAATTACAACAATGCTGGTATTCATGATACTTCACTGGTATAATTTCAAGACTTAAAAATGGACTAGGTCAGTAAAAGTGTGCCTTGACACTAGTCACTTCAAGTTCAAGGCAAACCAAAATCTTCACAGAAAGCTATGGAAAAATATAAACCATACATTATATGTTTATGTACTGCCAGTCAGCAGTCACCACCTTCCAACTGAAGCCACAATATTTAGCAATAGGCATGATGCCCTATCCATAGCTTGCAGGACCAAGAATTATGAAACCTAATGTATAGAATGGTCCTTGTGGTTCAAGAGCAGCAACACAAGAAAATTGACAATATACTTCCTAATCTTTCTAAATTTTAAACTGCATGGCCTCCCAACCATTATCCATCTCACAGGCAAGATAGGGTAAAGCGGTACATTCCGACATTGTGGGTAATTCAGTCACCTCTCTAGTTCAGTTCCATGCGTTCGTTGATGGTTGAAATGGTGACGTCTTACATTTGCGCATAAAACTACTGCCAAAACACTAGGTCTTGGCCATCTAGCAGGAAAATATTGAGATCCAATGAGACAATGCATGCTACCCAGTGAGATCATCGAAAAATGTGTCAAATTTGACAGTTGACCTTGCTCTACCAAATAGTGAATAACTGTTTGTATAGGAAGAATATTATGGTTTGAGACTTGAATACATCTGAATATATTAGGAATCCTTTAGGTATACTTTTATTCGCTGATTTCAAATGGTAAATAAATAGATGATTAAGTTGAGAAATGGATTTAGACACATGAAAACTAATTCCGTCACAACTTGAATTGGACACGCACAGATCGTTCCAAGCTGTGTACAAAAATTAAAATTTGCTTAATTAAAAGCTTGATAGTTGTTAATTAAAAGCATAATTAAGTAGTGTTCAATATTCATTAGTATTGTAATTGAAAGCCGTGTTGTATTCCAATACAGCTCACACAGCAAACAGAATTGGAACAAGTGGATGACGGCATTACGCATCAGTAGAATTTGAAGCGCGGACGGAATACGCCTCACCACGTGCCAAATATAGCAACACACAGTGAGTCAGTGACTGAATATAGGGATTTGGTAGGTTCGCATTACAAAGGCTTTTAAATAAGGCAACATTTTGTGATGTTTCGTCGTTGCTGACGCATAGGTAGTGTGGTGTTCTGAGAGTCACATAAAGCAAACAGAACTTGAGTAACGCATATGGTTATTTTTGTATAGTTTTTCATTTTTCAATGCGTCCTTACTCCTTAATGTAACTGAATATACCGCGTTTACCCTACCATATGATATATGGTCACTTTATTGACTTGAAAGCATCTCGCAGTAAAGCCCACCATGACTACCAATTCACATTTGAACTATCAAGAATTGGCCAACAGTCAATCAGTAATAATCTTACCATTGTTCCGTTACTTCCATTCTTAGCACAGTGGCAGAGCAGAGAATTATTAGACTCCATGCTCAATTTCAAGTCCTATAAATAATATAGCAATGTATCATGGATAAAAGCATTATAATTTATAGTTTATACACATGATATCTGTTTATAGCTATCTCAGTTCTAGCTAAGTAGATGCAAAGATGAGAAATGAACCAACCCTAAAAAATCGTTGGTTGTCAAGTGTCAAGTTGTCAACCATAACTCATACTCTTAGCATCACCACAACACCAGCACCAAGTACCAACTGCATCAAAAAATCAAAACTGGAGGATTGAAATAAAAATTGTTCTAGACCATGAAATTAACTTCCTTCCTGTTCCTTGCTGCACATTGTAAGAGCCTAAGAGGTGGAATTGATTTATTCATTTCTTCACATTTCACAATAACTTGATTTAATGTAGGTAGTTGAATCAAAGTTTTATTTTAATTTTTGCATTTGCCAAAACTCAATTTTAATCTCAGAAAATATTTTATGTAGCTAATGACAGCTTTCATCAATTCTTTAAATGTTATTTAAACCTCAAATGTGCAAAAGTTCTAAAAATACATCGATTACATCCTATGTATTGACTATTTTAATTGTATACATATGTCAATGTACAAATAGGCTAAGTTCAATAGTATTTAGGTATTACTTTCCGAGACTCGTTTCAGAAATGTTAGTTCTAGAATATTTCACAGAATCCTACCAGCTGGCAGCTACCACTAACCACTGTACCAACAAATAGCTAGGTAGGTTAACAGCCCCAGCCGAAGGCCTGAAGTTACTGAAGCATATATTTTCCTACTATTAAATGAATCAAAATGTACCTAGGCTATATCTACTACCTAGTAAAATAATCAAGTCTGATCAACGGGATCATCAACCTCTTGCTATACAGCTTTTTCATCAACCTTTTGCCAAGGTAGGTAGGTCCTAATACTATAAAGTATAAACTAGCAAGTTCAACCTGGAGTTTCAAATTCAAAGTTGTACCTAACCTAGGTAGGCCTACCTAACATACAAGATCGTCTTACACAGTTAGGTACACTTATATGATGCACCAACCCTATATCTAGGCTACCAAATTTATGACTAAGCGCAAAATTAATACAAATCAACCATAATGTACACATCGCCTATCTAACGCTTGAAATTCTGTCAGAGAAAAGCGTACTTATACGATACTTACGGTCAGGTACTTAAGGAATTGGATGAACACACGGCTTAATCAAATATGGCGTCGCGATTCTCGCAAGCAAGCCTTTTAATCAAGTCAAAACGATCGCGGTACGCTAGTTAGAGATTGTTATGATCTTTACACGGACTTCGCCTCTTCATCAATACAGCAAGGTTTAGTTCTTGTTTCCAACGTAATATATCAAGAAATGGACGTCAAAGTTTATCTCGTGACGGCATGAGCTTTCAACGGTTAGAACATAATAGACACGACGTGCGCAGCACTTTTCTATCCATCGCGTTGATACAACAAAGATTTTCAGCCATGGAGTCAACGTAATATTCAGAAAATTGAGCCTTTTTCGCTGTATATTTTACTTTCCAGAAAAATTACAGCGAGAAAAATTCTTATCAATTGACGTTGACATTCTATTCGAAATGTTTTTCTGTATTGTTTGGGAATGTTTTGTCAATAAAAATATAGAAATGGGATACATTTCTTACTAAAAACTACCGGTAAGTATGAATTAAATTTCTTCTTAACTTTACATGTAAGCGAAATTACTAAAGCGAAATTTTAAAAATACGTTTTTTGCCTCCGTTGCTCCTATATTATAGTCTTCAGTTTTTTTTATCGCCGTAATTCAGTATGAGTTAGAGAAGTACTATAACACTAGTAGGCAAATATTTTTTATCGTCAAGAGTCAGCATAGGCATTAAAGTGTGTGCGCCGATATTTATTTTGCAAACAGACGCAAATATTAAAAATAAATAGACGCCTTCGAAACATCCGAAACATCGAAAACGTCACAACAACTTGGACGTTTTCACCGAATCGACACTTCAGCGAACTCGCCTGCGAGCTCGAATGGAAAACCTAACTTCATTTTCAACTCTGGCACTCATGTTTCATGATCCCTGTCTTCGACACCTCGTCCGCAATGTTGAGCAATTGAGTCCCGCAGGAGTGACCTTCTTTCTGGAAGCCGTTTTGTTACGTACATAGAATTTTGTGCTCTTCACTTTATGTAATAATTTCACTCACGAGTTGAAATTGCTATTTATGCTTCAGGAGCTCACAAGAGATACTCGTCAATGAGATGAATGTTTAGCTTTCAGCACAGTCACGTTCTCGTATCCTCGACCCGAGCACACGGTGCGCTTTTTCTGTCTGAGTGTAACTCCAGCGGCAAAACAATTGTGTGGTATTATTTTTTTAGCGTCCAATGGCAAACGGTACTTTTTTAAAGCAGATCTATAAATTACCAAGTGAAACTTCATTAAATTTTTTTGTAAAACTACTTACCTTGATCATGAAATTTCAGCCCAAAAAAGGCTATTGAAAGTTTGCTATTCATGAGCTTGCTAATTATACTAATAACAAACTATACAGATATTCTAATTGCAGGACCAAATAAAACGTTACTTCTTTAATTGATTGTAGCAATATGGAGACGATTATGTCCCTGTTGTAAAATTTATTTTGTAACGCTTGAAAAAAATTCTTTGCTTACCAAGAAGGCCTCTTCTCATAGAGTTCACAAGACGATAATTCCGTTGCCTCATTTCTTACGAAATCGGCGCATTCGATTTGATAATAATATAGAAAACTAATAAATCCATACAGAAAAAATAATGACTAAATTGGGTGTTATTTCGTTAGTTAATGCCGTCCGCAAATGACGATATAATGACGTGGCTCACCTTCTTGTCAATATATTGGCCATGTGAATGAGGTAGAGGACTGGTCCTGTGGTACAGCACTTTTCAGACACGTCTCGCTTGATATTGAGCCTCCAACAACCACTGCTTGTCCTATGTCGGTTAAGAAATAGTGAAACCACGCAAACAAACATCATCCGATTACAGAAGTCATGATTTTCTGATGAACATTCGGTAATAAGTTTTGTCAAAGGTGTGAGGGAAGACTCGCTATCTTGATAGATTTTCAGCTCAATTATAATTGCCGCTAAACTTGCATGCAACGTTACGCGTGCCTGAAATCTGTTCTCCCTGCCTGCCGAGTCCTGAAGCCACGTCCCTACTGAGCTACTAAGAGCAAATGGTCGAACACTTCAATGAGACCTAGAACCGAACACCCCCAACTACTTCAATGATTCAGAGATACTACTGGGAGGCGTAACACTGTGCGATATATTAAGGTGGAGCGAATTTTTTTCGACTTTCGCAATCCGACTACAATGTAATACATCTGCCAAATTTAAAAAAAAATTGATTTTCAATGCAATTTTGACCTTAATGTTCAATTTGCGAAAGTCAAACATGATCATTGACCATGATTATTGAGTTGATTTTTTGTGAATCAACGTTCACCATTTAATGAAGAAATTATAACCCTATCGTGATCAAAATCGATCGAAGCAAAGAGATTCACCAAGAGGTTCAAACGCGGCCGCTTATTTTTAGATCACAGGAAATAATTTACGTAAATTGAAAAGTGAGGCGTTTTGTGAACTTAGGATTCAGTTTTCTCAGTCATATTTTCTATTTATTTAACACAAAATAATCAAATGGGAGGCAGAAAAAATAGTGTCATGCATGCTACTTTTGATTAAAAAGAATATTGAGTACAAAATGGAAAATGTAATCAATGTAATTTTTAATCTCAAGTTAACACGTGAAATGAAAAAATTGTGTATGTTATATTGAATCGATTAAACATTGTAATTGATTCACTATCCTTCAATTTTTGTTCGCAATTTCATTCACAATTTCATTGAATTTAATGAAATTATGGCTTTGCGACACCTAGGCCTGCATGAATTTTGTTTGCAGGCTGTTTAGGATATTCCTCCGACTCCCAAGCATTTAGGGTGCTTTGAATCCAAAAATGATATCATATTTTCATAACTAGGATATATATTCTATCTAGCACATCACGTTAAATGACATTATATAGAACAGTGTCGAACATGGCCTTTGGTTTGCACCCCTTATTCATTTAGAAATCATATTAACAGAAGCTAAAGAACCACATGCAGAAGCCAGTAAAAGTCGATGTTTTTCAAGAAATAAGTTTGCAAGTAACTTTTGAATTTAAATACTATAAAGTTACTAACTATTGGTGGCGAAGAGGTACATAGAATATTTGATAGACTTAAGTTTAAAGTAAAAATTTTCAAACAAGCTGTCAAAATATGTAGGATGATTGCAAATTATAATGGAGTTGGCAAGATATTTTTTTATATATGTATGAAAGTTAGACATGTGTTCGTGTGTGTGTGAGTAATTAAAGCTAGGAGTTGCGAATATACATTATTAGAGGACGTATCCCCGCTACTTTTCGTGTTGGGATAGTACTGGACATGGAATTTTTTATAGTGGGAACATTGTAGTATATTCGAAAATCTATATAAATACTAGACGTTTAAAAATTACTTTTTAAGGACAACACTTCTAAAGAATGCAGTGTCTTTGTTTTTACACATGAACAATTAATTTCTAATTTTATGTTCATATATTTATATTTTTTATGTTCATATACATTTAATTTTTTAATATTCAAATTTTTTGTAAATTTTCAAAATTATTTATTCTGTTAACTGATTCATGCATTGTCTCTGATTTTATGCATGTGTGCAAAATTTCAGATCGATTGGACAGGTAGAACTTCAGTAGAAGTGTGTCAAATATCGGGGTGGATAGCTAGAGGTCAGCATAACCCAACTCCACAGTGCGATTCATATACCTTCCCGAGCGTAACGCAGCCGGGCATCTTCACAGCTTTTGACACAAAGCGCCCACCACAACAGCGCCGTTCAGTCACAGGCCGGAGCGCATACAGGCCGGAACACAACTGGCCGGAGCGCAACAGGCCCTACCGCAACAGCTACTCCTAGCGTAACCTAACCTAACATGCGCCGCCTGTTGCGGTAGGGCCTATTGCGCTCCGGCGCTGTGAAGCAGTGGCTGTGTTGTGCAAAGCGGATTTACTGTTAGCCGTAGTTACCCACAGCTCATTGATCTGAGGCTATGTGTAGATATTGCATGCTGATGGTTGGCGTTGGGCCCAGGGCCTGTTTACGAGTCAATTTTGTTACCCACGGCTGCGCTCCCAAATATCGATTATAAGATTTGTAGAAGACAGACAAGCAAACAAACAAGAAGTGAAGTTAAAGAGAAGTGTTGTAAAAAATCATATAAAAATGAAATTTTATTTTCAAACAAAAATTTTGTACGGGAATTTAAACTAAACGATGCATAACAGCTTTTTTCGGAATTTTGAAGAGAGAGTCAACGGGAGTTTTTATTTCTTTTTGGGGGTGTTCAATGTCGAATGACGTTTGAAACGGTCCATCATTCATTAACGTACATTATCTCTCTCATAATGAACAGGATTTGGATTAACGGAGTTCGGGATGATGTGATTTCTAAAATTGCAGTGTCTATCAATCCAAGAGCAAATCCGAGTTAACAATGCTACCGACCGGTAGTATATTATAAAATATTGCCTAAAAACCAAAGGAACAATAGGCCGGCCAAAATCATTCGAATCTGTGAAGAAAGGTTTTAGGTTTATATCCTGGGTTTAGTTCTTTAAATTGACTATACATGAGTTTATATGTTTTTGAAGTGATGATGAGGTTGGTATTCGAAACTTTTGAAATGAGAAATTTGTGTTCGGCGCAAGCGCAATGCCGACAATCCCCGTCGTCTCGTATACATATAGCTACATTTCTTCAATCAATAGCACTCGTCATAAGCAGGAAATTTCTGTTATCTCTGGTCCGCACATTTGATTGTATATGGCGTTTTTACCAAAACTAAATATAAATAAAAAGAGGCAGCAGATGATGGCATAAAGCGGTAATAATAATAATCAAACTACAGTATAGAGTTGGATGGCCTGCTTCCTGAGGCGACCGACGCAGGAGCTTGAAAGAAGAAATGCGTGTTTAAAATTGGTTAGATTTTTCAATTTACAAAGAAAATGCGTGTTTTCCCAACTTTATTTCCATTTCTTATTTGGAAGAATTTAATCCGAATTTGACTTAGGAAATGCAATGTGTTCTCCACGTGAGCTAAATGAAAAATATATATATAAATATCAGAATGAATAAAAAAATGCACATTCATTAGAATATCTAAAGCAGGTATCACAGTATTTACTCGCCCTATTGGGTATAACTGTACATTGTGTGAACTGAAGTATTCAGAACTTCAGAAGTATAAGTGAAATAGTAATGTGAGCCTGTGAAGTCTTTACAGTGAAGTACACTCAGTAGTTAGTAACTTAGTACCTCAAGTACTGTTACAGCCAGACGTGAGTCGACCGCGAAACTCGGCAGACGTCGTACGTACTCTTTCATCTCTGATCATCTCTGAAGACTCTGCGGTAGTGCGGTATTTGCAATTTTGTCAGTGTTTCGAGAGAAAACAGTCAGAAAGTTAAAAGACAGTTGCATTTGCAGTTACTGGATTACAATGGCTGACGATTCAAGAAGTTCTGCAGAGAGTAGTGATTCAGAGTCAAGCTGTGACGAAGAAAGGAACCAAGTAGATGAAACGCAGTCAGCGAGCAATGTATTTAAGAATGATGGATCATTCTTGGAAATGTTTAAAAAAATGCAGGATAAAAAAGTACAAGAAGAATGTAAATTGCCACAGTCTGTGGTGAAAGAAGAATCAAAAGATACAACTCATACAAGCAGTGTTCAATCTGAAGTTTTGAAGGCCAGCAGCTGTGAACCTAGTTCTCAGTCTGCGTCAACATCTGCAACTGCAAGGAAACCTTTCTTGAGTTGTGTAAGATAATTTTCTGATTAGTAACTTTAATCATTAGTCATTTTATTGCTTACGCCTTACACCTTACATTATATTAGTATACTAAAGGTTCCTCAAAGGCTTTAACATGAAAGTTTGTCACCAATCACCAATTCACCATTACCTGATAGCCTACCGACCTACTAATCCAAAATCTGACCCAAAATCACTGCCTGCCAAAATGACCCTTGAGATTTGAGTTTGTAGGTAATTGCCCTTTAAAGTGACTTGTTTTGAGGAGTTTATTTAGGATTAAGAGAATTCAAGTTTTCTAATGGATTTGTTCAAATTTGTAACAATCTTGGAAACTGTCATTATATATACCTAATTAAAAATCACATTTACCTGGAACTGGAAGTCTGGAATACGAATACCTATTAGGTACCTAACTTTGGAAATGCCAAATTTTAGTTGAATGGATAGAACTATAGTCTATACAAGCATTTCTTGAGTTTGACCATCATACTTTCCAAGCAATGTCTGTTGTACTTAAGCTGTGTTATTATTTTCTTATAACATCTTGGTTATACCTTATACAAATTTTTTGCCAAGTAATTGTTGACTGATTAGCTGTAAAATTTCAAATATAGATAAAGTCTGAATTTAGAGCTGCATGATTTTACTTACCCAATTTCTCTGAGATGCTTTATTGCATAATAATGCATATAATGGCAAACAGATATGGTGGCAACTGGCAAATGAGACATTTTTTATAAAAACATTAAAAAAATTATTCATTTTTAGTTCTATGAATATGTAGTTCATAGTTTAAAATTGTTTTTAATATCCATCTATAATAATGCTGGTATCCATGATTTTTCACAAGTCCACTCAGCACTCATGCCTCATGGTAATAGCCATGAGGCATGAGTGCTGAGTAATAGCATAGGATGCCAAATAAAAAGCCTAAGCCTCTGCTTTACAATGATGCAAACAAATTGTCAAGCATAGTGGCAAATTGGAGATTTTTTATAATTGATTCAGTTCTAACTACCTTATCTACTCAAGATTTAAACAAATATCTTATGTATGATAATGCTGGTATCCATTATACTTCATTGATCTAAGTCATCTAACTATTGGATGCAAAAATGAACTTCATGGAGCATCTTGAAGACTATCAGCATGGCCACTATGTCATCAAAATTTCAAAATGAATAGCATTTGAGGCTGCAGAATCATGAGAGAGAAGTATATAAATTTTGGCTTGTTTTGTGGTGGGTATTGGGTATCATACCTGTCATTACCTGATACTTGTCCAGCTGTCCTTGATGAGGTATCATACCCGAAACCTGTCCATAAATTCACCTCTTAGAATTTTATATTGCAATGCTGAGTATCATAGTGACAAAACAGACATTTTTTAGACTCTTCCTCTGGTTCATTTTCTAGTTCTATAAGTAGACCAGTAAAGTTTCATGGCTAGTTGGCTACAATCATGATACTTGACAATCTTTGGTTTGCCACTATGCCAAATAGGCAGTAAAAACTGAGGAGCAAGGTTGAATTAATGAGTAGAATACATGAGTCAGTGAACAAATCTAGGATTACTTTGCATGTGTTGTGTGTATCTTTACTTGTTAGAACATGACTATTTTTTAAGCAATACATTGAGTGGAACACTTGCATCTGATTCCAATCTTGACTTCCACCCTGCTGCATTGTGCATGGAACTTGTGGAACTATTGCTCAAAACAATTGATGGTTTGTCATGCATTTTTATATTATCTGTATATGTTATTGTTACAAAATCAACATATTTGAATTTATAGTACTTCAGATTATTTCAAGGAAGGTAAGTAAAGTTGATCCCTCTCCCACAGATGGTGGGGATTGCCAGCTACTCGACATCTCTGGCGCTTCATCCAACAGTTCCTGAAGGCGTATAGTGGCTGCAAACTCAAGCATCTGTTGCTATGATTGCATATGATGCAACTTAGTTCAGCTGCCCCAGGAATCACAGTGGCTTTTTGCTTCCATCATCATTGTGTTTTTAGTTTCATTTCACCCAGCCAATTGTGCTATTAAGATTAAATTCTTAGGCATTATTTATTATCACTGTAAAGCATGAAAATTTATGTGCTAAAACATTAAAATGAGAAAATAGAATGGTAATTCTAAAAATTCAACTTTGAAATCTACTTGGTTTGTTTTGAAGCCAATACATACATTTTAACATGAGAGGTGATTCATCACTCATGTTTTGTGGTGAATATTCTGATTACATTTCATGGGATTGTATTAATGAAATAAATTCTCTCCAATCTTTGATATCTCTGATCTAATTATCTGTTCTCATTCAAACTTGTGTGAATGAAACTGATGTTGATGGAAGCAAAAAGAGAAATTCCACTGCTGTGTTGTGTTCCATCTTGCCTGTTGATCTAATGGCATTGAGCTCTGCGCAGGTGGGCAAGAGGCGCGGTGGTCGCATCTTACCTACAGGCATTGTCAAGAAGGCTAAGAAATCCCAGGATGGGGCTCAGGTAAGCTCAGGCCTCTAAATTATTAATAATGAATTCATGAATTTACAAGGTTGAAAGATGTGGGGAATACTACATATATTCATCCCTTGATTGCTTCATTTAATCTTACTTTTACTTATTGAGCTAAACATGCTCTAATTAAATTCACTCACTAATGAAATCCTTGCTAATCAATCATTAACATGGGTTCTGAGTTCCTAATTTTAATTCATCCATCAGTCTTCATTAAATTTCAAGTAGATTGTATGTTCAAACCATGTATGTTCAATTTACGAAAACTGTGTATACCTCTTTGGTAATTTTAGTGTATTGCTGTATTACTCTTGAGCTGAGCTGCCAATATGTTTCTAATACAAGCAAGTATATGACAGGAAGCTGAGCCTAATGATGCCTGGTCTCGTTATCTGAGTGAGGTGCGCAAGTACAGGGAACAGTCCTGCGAAGAAGAGGGAAAACGACGTCCCCTTGTCAAGTGAAACTTCCGTCTTGTCAAGTGAAACTTCCGTCATACCTGAGGGTTGCATTTAATGGATCTATGAGATTTTGATCAATTAATTGTTTCTGTTAAACACTATTTAGTATTATTCATCATCTGGGAATAGAAAAACTCCAATGAAGCCTAAATGTTACTGCATCTGAAGATGGATTTGAAAACTAGATGAATTTACTCAAAATCATGGACTGGATCATGGTGTACGATTAAGTCCACTGACAACATAGTGGAACACAAGTTAATGGTCATGTTGTGGTGTGGTTAGCAACCTGAGCAATTCCTATCACCTATCGTGTGATGACATTTGCTTAAGCCACATAATTTTTGCTATGAGGAACAGATTTGAGGTCTGTAAATTGCTGCAATTACTATTTTGAAATAAGCAATGCAATCATTTTACGAAATTGACTGATAAAAAAGTTTTTACGGCAATGTTGATGAAGTGATAAATTGGATGAATTTATCCTCATGAGTTGCATTATGGTGGCAATGTTTATTTGCCGAATATAATAACAAATTTAGTGTTCCTGCTTCTTGTCACAGATAAACTCCCTGCTGCTTCACCTAGTTTTATCTGGTGTCTCAGAGGCACTAATAAATCATGTTGACATACGGCATTGGCTCCTTCGACTAAATAGGTGTTGAATCATCTCAGGATGAATGTTGCTCCTCTGAAAACTTGTTTGTTAAATCTTAATGTACTAAATATTGGGTGAATCTAAGTTTATGTACTTACCTCATTTGAGATTTCATTTTAATTAAATTGCACTCTATTGCTGGTTTAATTTAATAATAAACAACGATCTAAACCACTATTCTGAATTAATTAAACGTTCACTATGATGAATGTGGACTCAAGAAGATTAGTTCATGATGAAGTTTTTTCTGGCATTACCAAGGTCATTACTTGAGAAGTAAATTTCTACAAAATTATAAATCAATTTGTTGAAATAAGCTGCATTTGTGCTTAGTCAAACTAAAATTAATTTTCCTTGGTGTTTGCACTTCTCATCTTATTGATGCAACCAGCAACATTTTCCATGTAATTGCCACCCTTTTATGTCGTAGGAGTGTGGCCTTTTTGTTTCAAGTTGGACTGTGTTCCTGTTTCATCAAGTCATAGGTTTTCATTACCTTTGGTTCAGCAGGGATACTTGAAAAAAACGTTCTTAACTACTGCTGCCATCCTTTTCTTTGAGCATTATCATAAATTTCCAGATTATTCACGTCTCCCATGCAGTTCACAAGCAGTACTACCGTAGTTGATCATCAGGCATGGAATGCCTAGTGTAATAAGATTGAGATTTGCTCTTGGAAGAAATAAGGTTCCTCTTTGTTCACCTTCTTGTTACTCACTCATCTTTCATGTCCAATTTTATTCATCCACTCATTTCATTTGCATATTTTCTTAAAGCCTTCTAGTTATTTTTTCAAAAAGAGATATCTCTCTCGTGTCTCGTTCATTTGCTCTCCAGATACCTGATACTATATTTTAATCTTGTATTTACATAATACCTCTCTGAGTCCTCTAACTTGCCTAAATAATACAAGCTCCCAAGTTTTCAAACAGTTGTTGACTCAGTCTCAGTTTTTTTCTGTCACTCTTTTGTCCAGGTACACTTTCTCTTGACATTGACTCTCCCAATTAGGTCATTCATTGCAAACATACCTTATATTCATATCGTACCGAAACCTTAATGTTACTCACCAAGCCTGCTGATACCCTCCATTTTATTATTGCTAGCACAGAAATTTTGTCATATATGTTAGCAAGGACAATTTTGTTGTTCTTTAATCATTTTAATTGCCTACCTTTGGCTGCAGAATTTTAGTTTTCATTGTGCACGTAACTCATTTACAGACTGCATTGAATCTATTCATCAATTTAATTATTGCCTTCATTTACCATACTTATCAAATTTTCATGGAGTCTCTCTTTCTCTTATCAGTTCCTTTTCCAGTCATTCTAACACTGCTTCTATATTCATCTCCCATTCAACTAGGATCTTTGTGTTCTAGAGTCTCTGTATTTCTCAAGGTCGAAACAACTCATTCACAACACTGATGTCCTCCAAAAATAATTCAACTCTTTACTCTGTCATCGCTTCTTTTTCACACACCTTAATGATGTATTGTTGACTCCTGTAATTTATTTACCACTTGGGAAGACATTTAATCAAATTTGACGTATTTTATACCTATCAATATTTTTTTTAATATGCTCTGGTCTCACTTGATAGAAGGTTCCTCAGGCTCTTCCCTCTGTTGATTTACTGATGATATCCATGCCAGCTTGCTCTCCTGCTTATATTTGTTACTCTTACGTCTCTTATATCCTCTGTTCTTCCGTTGGTACCTCTTATCATTTATAACTCTTGGGTATGTTTGCCAATTTTGCCTGGTAGTATTTTGAGACAGCACCTCTCATTTTCTTCCTACATTTCGTTTTCCCTACTATTCCATAACATATTCACCTTCTATTCCATTAACAATATTTTTTCTTAACTTTCTCCTCCTCTCTATCATTTTTAAAATACTGGTCATTACTAAAGTGCGCTTTATTTCTTAATGTCTGCCTCACGTCCGCCTCGTTCAACTCCACGTTTTCCATTTATCCCTAACTCAAAAGTTGCTCTCTTAATTCACTAGTTCGCTAAAATTGCGTTGTATGCCTAAGTATGTCACCGAACACAACAATCTTCTCATTGTAATGGCCATCTATCTCTTTATTAATTGCCTTGTATGCCTTTTTATGTCACCAAGCCCCATAATCTTCTCTTTGTAATGGTCATCAATCACTTTATTAATTGACTTGTATGCCTTTGTATGTCACTAAGCCCCATAATCTTCTCATTGTAATGGTCATCCATCACTCTATTAATTACCTTGTATGCCTGTATATGTCACCGAACGCTGCATAAAAAATATTTTGCTAGCGTTAAAAAAAATTCACGTCGCATCCGGTAGTTGAAAAAAAAGTTCAAATTATGGGTAGTATTCACTTTAATCCTGAAAGACTAAAACATTCAGTTATACATGTCAATATCTCAAAAAATAAACAGAAAAAATGTACTAGAACATTCGGCACGGCCACCTTTGTTTTTCCACCCTAACCTCTCTCAACCCTCCATTCCTCAATACCCCACTCTTATCATCCTCCTCCTCTCCCTCAACCTTCAACGTTTTCCGATCATCTCTACACACTCTCAAACATAGCTACAGTTGCTCCTCATACAGACACACAATTATTACCATCCACTCTTCGTTTGTTCTCTCAGAGTGCCCTTTATGGGGCACTTCTCACCTTTATGTTTCACGTATACATCTTTCGTGCCCAAAATTCATCGTCCATTCGCTCCAGTCTCACTTTATATCTCAAAACTTATCTCATTCTTCTCTCCTTAAAGGTACTCCATCCCATGTGCCCTCTCAGGGCCTCCGCCGCAGTCCACCTGGGGGGCTCCTAGTGCCAATCTCACCACTCTATTCTGTACCAATTCCAGTTTATCTGGCTCACCATCACTCTATGCTACCACGTCCAATCAATACTGAAACTGCTACTGTTACTTGCTCAAACTTTTGCTGCACTTCCAAATATATACCTAAATATTGATTCGCCTTCCTTAAATTCTCGTCCTTTTGTTCTCTCACATCCCTCCTGGTCCACACACACCCCTAAGTACCTACAATCATTTGTCCTAACTATCTCATTCCCTCCCAAAAGCGTCACTCTGCTCATACCCTCAGCCGGTCCATTCACAACAGGTATTTGGCTCTTCACCGCACTGAATTGCACATTGAAGTCAATCCCATACCCGGTTCCATAGTCCGTCATAAAAAGAGAGCATACTTTCACTCATCACAGCATCATCGTCATACAGAAGCATCTGTATGCTGATAGCCGTCTCTTCTGTGTTAAGGTTCAAGAGAAGCGGAGACTGCATAAATCCTTGTCGTACGCCCCTCCTGCTCCTCACCTAGTCCGTCTCCTCATCTCCCAGTCTATATTTTGCTCTAGTTTTCACATACGTACGGTGCTTCTTACGAGCCTCACAGGTTTTTTTCAGTCATTCCAATTTTTTCTAGTGCTTGACGCAGAAGTTCTCTATCAACCCGGTCATGCGTTTTTGTTATGCACAGAAAATCCAAGCATAGTTTCTCTTTCTTTTCATTCTCCCGATCAGCACATTCACAACAAATATATTATCTTCAGTTACATCTAAAACCATTTAGCTCTTCACCAAGCTCTCTCTCGTTCCTCATACATCTTTGCATTCGCTCATTCATTACCGCACAAAAAATCTTACCACTGGTGTCAGTAAATGCAATCTGTCTGTAATTCTTAAGTTCCTTCTTGCTCTTGTGGCCTCCCTTGTGTAACACGGTAACCCGGCTTTCATTCCACGCATCAGGTACACGTCAGTTGTCCTACAACATTAAATAATCAGTCAGTCTGCCATTGCACTCTCACCTCAATACTTGTACATCTCGTATGGTATCTCGTCCATTCCAGCTGTCTTATTATTCAGTATTTCTACCTCTCGTTTCACTTCATCATTTGTAATTTCTTCATCTGTGCCACTCGGAGATCTTTACATTCTAATGAAACAACGTTTTCGCCCAAATAAGGCATTCATCCCACCAATATCTTCCTAATCTGTTGTTTTTTCTACTCCTTTTCGTTTTCCTTCTTTTACATTCAGTTGGTCAATTTCACTACATACATCAATTGTCATCTTACGAGTTGACAATCCACACGTTTTCCAAAACACGACTCTTATCACTGGATTGTTTCATATTCACAGCACGTGTTTTATTTCGGCATTCTCTTTATCGTCGCTTTGGGAAATTAATAACTGCTGCAGTCATGTTTCTGCTTGTGCATCCTTTGTGCTCTCGGAATATAATACCTGTTTTACATGCGTGTTTATCCGTGAAACACTCGTATTGAAATGCTGCAAAGCTTATTCGACTCTCCAAATTTGGTAGAATAGTCCTTATGAAGGAAATTTAACGCCTGACATGCTATAAAAGGGCCCATATGTTACTTGTGTTTAATTTTCCCATTATGTGAAACCTGTACAAGTGTACAGCTGATGAAAATTAAACTAAATCCAGCATCTACTGTGATATGATAATTAATCTGAGCAGTATGAGAGGTGTTACACACATACCGGTCTTCTGTGGGTATATCCGCTTGAACCATAAGCTCCAGCCCAAAAATTTATATTTCAAATTCAGAAGTTTTCAAAATGCATACTTATTGTTGATAAATCTTACTACCGAATGCTCTTCAAATATTTTGTTCTAATTAACTTTGTGTGCCGATTATGTTGAATTGACTTTCCGCGATGATGAAACGACTTTCCGACGAATTTGATGAAACTTTAGGAAAAGATATACTAGAAACTAAATCTATCTATGGACAAAGGTGACTAGGAACTTTATAAATAATTAATACAACGTTTAAATTGTTACTTATTCCTCGGAGAAAACTGTATGCAGATAATACGTTAAATCTAAGTCACACAATACAAATCGAACAAATTGTTTGTGTGGCAGCGCATCGGTAACTACGGTCTACGGTCGTTCGCTGTGCGAGACGTAAACATTGACACTTGACAGTGCCGCGCTGAATCAGTTAGCTAATTATGTTTAGAAGAACAAATGGCAGGCCTCCAATTTATCTTATTGGGGGTTTGGCTATTAGCGTGTTGTTTTTGACGATTAGTTATTGGAACTTGAACACACAAAACAATGATGTTCTGCAGTCACTGGAGAAAATGCAGGCTAGTCTGAAGATCGGGTGAGTGCCAGACTGCCAGTCTGCCAGAGCAACAGCCAACTACTTGAACTAGGTAGCCTAACAGGATTCTAAACAGTGAATGCTTATTGCTTAGTAAAGCAAACTAATTATTGCAATATGTAATTTATTGAGTACTGTTTATCCTTGATTTGAAGGACACTTATTCAGGTTAGTCAATGTCTGATTGTCATCATGTCATGTCCAACTTCAAACTTTCCAAGATTGAGAAAAAAAATGAAGAAATAAAATTCAAGTTTTCCATGTGGATCTGGAGTCCTGGACCATATGCTTTTACTTAAAAATCTTTTATAGCAATTATTTTGTTTTAGTAATAATTAATTATTAGCTAGCTTACCTAGCTATCTATAAACTATATTATGGAAAACTTGCTGCTCCAAAAATAGTAATAAATCTCTTATTGAAGGTTTGTGGCCAGTGGCCACTGGCCTGGGTACTGGCGAGCAGAAGGGAAAAATGTCTACCATGTAGCAAATAGGTACCAGTGTCCAGTTCCAGTAATAGTACAACATAAGTTGGCAATCAGCAGCTAGGGTAAACGCAGTATATTCCGTCACATTAAGGATGCATTGAGAAATGAAAAACTATAAAAAATAACCGTATGCATTACTCAAGTTCTGTTTGCTTTATGTGACTCTCAAAACACCGCACTATGTGTCAGCAACAACGAAACGTCACAAAATGTTGCCATATTTATTTAAAGCCTTTAGAATGGAAACCTACCAAATCCCTATATTCCATCACTGTGTGTGGCAATATTTGGCACGTGGTGAGGCATATTCTGTCCGCGCTTCAAATTCTACTGATACGTAATGCTGTCATCCACGTGTTCGAATTCCGTTCCCTGTGTGAGCTGTATTGGAATACAACACGGCTTTGAATTAGAACACTAATGAATATTGAACACTACTTAATTATGCTTTTAATTAACAACTTTTAAGCTTTGAATTAAGCAAATTTTAATTTTTGTAGACAGCTTGGAACGATCTGTGTGTGTCAAATTCAAGTTGTGACGGAATTAGTTTTCATGTGTCTAAATCCATTTCTCAACTTAATCATCTATTAATTTATTTACCACTTGAAATCAGCAAATACAAGTATACTTAGAGGATTCCTAATATATTCACAGACGTATTTAAAAGTCTCAAACCATAATATTCTTCCTATACAAACAGTTATTCACTATTTGGTAGAGCAAGGTCAACTCTCAAATTTGACACATTTTTTTATTATCTCACTGGGTAGCGTGCATCGTCTCTCTTTGGATCTCAATATTTTCCTGCTAGATGGCCAAGACCTAGTGTTTTGGCAGTAGTTTGACACGCAAATGTATGACGTCACCATTTCAACCGTCAACGAACGCATGGAACTAAAACAAAGCTTAATATAAAGGAAAAACTAAAGAGTTGACGGCATTACCCACGATGTCGGAATATACCACGTTTACCCTACTGCACTTGACTTGCCACTAGTCAACAAAAACCATGTCATGCTACTGACCAAAATTTCAATTTGTTGGGATTTGATTGTCATATAATAATTGAAAAGCATTTATGATTGCACTAGATAGTTGTGGCTCAGTTTTGTTAACAAAATGAATTGTTTCTTAATTCTTATGAAGGCCAGACCCCAGTTCTGCCCAGTAACATAAGTGCTGTGGCACTGGCAAAGTTTGTCAAATTGATGGTACTTGAGAGTTGAGAAGATGAAGACAAGAAATAAATAATCATTGCTGAGTCCAGGTGTTACAAGTAGTCAGCAGGTGACTTCTTCTTCGCCTTCAAACCCGCATCGAATCAATCAATTGATGTACTTGCTGCCCAATCTCATGGTTTGTACAAGGTCCCAGAAGGATTACTAGAATTTGAAACAAGAACCAACACCAGGGGCCACAGCTATAAACTAAAAAAACTGCGGTTCAACTTATCCACGCGACAACATTTCTTCTTGCTTCGAGTCACTGACATGTGGAACAGCCTCCCTGAAGATATTGTTGATGCTCCAAGTATGAACGCGTTCAAGAACAGACTAGACAAGGCCATGCATGAGCATATGTTCAGTCTTAAAATGCCTCGTACCCTACGGAACAACTGATATCTTCCGTCCGTAAGGCCAGTCTAGTCAAGAAAAGTACTAGAATCGGCGACAGGCCTATCCAGGCCTATTTATTTAATGCCTAAGATACTATACTATACTGCTATACTATACTAATCCATAATATTGGGCAGGCCGCAGAATTTTCCAGAAATTGCAATCAAAAATGTATCCTATTTCTTATTATTCTGAAGCAAATTAGAAAAGGGCCATATAATGGGCAAAATTGACTGCAAGCATGGAAATTTTTATCTCATTTTTTATTTGTTTTATAAATATTGTGATGCCATAATGCATCTTTGATGTCTATAAAGTAAGTTAGAGAACATTGTAATAATTATATCACACTACTCTATAATGGGCTGACAAGGAATTTAAAAGCAAAGAAAATGTCAAGCAAATTCACCCTATCAATATTGAAATATCAATATGGTGAATTTGCTTGGCGCTTTCTTTGCTTTTAAATTCATTGTGAACTTGCAATATAAGCAGACTGATAATATAAGTACTTATAATGGGTTAGGTTTTTTCATGAATCAAATAAAATAAGTTCTTTTTTAAATAAGATCAGCACTATATAAAACATATCTAAGGGGTTTGATCTTTTTTTAAATCTCAGCCTGTTATTACTAATTTCAAGATCATAGTTTATTTCAAGAGCAAAAATTTGAAGTGCTTGCAGCACAAAAGTTTATGAGCTATGAGCTCATAAATTATGCTGCTTGATTTTTGGCTTTCAAAAATATAAAAATACATTAAAAAAAATTCTTTTTACTCCATAAACTCCTTTTATGGACTTTTGAGATACTCCTGACACTAAATAATGACATCATCATCAATCATGAAGGCGTGATAAGAATAGTCTTGGTGAATTTGATTTGAAAATTGCATGTATTTTTAGGACCAATGAGTTTTTTTACAGATTGACTTGGACCATTGACAGGGTTCTTAGATTGTTTGACATTAAGAAAAGAAAACCTTATACTCACAAAGTTTTTGCCTTGAAAAATTTGCGCTGATGGGCCTTGAAGTACTATGAGATAATTTACAAATGCAATAAAGAGATATAATTTATAGATTTACTGTGTGACTATTTGTCACATAGTAAATCCACGTCACAATGTTTTACAGTATCTATTATGGAACTGCAAAACTGTACCTGACAGCAGTAAATCCATGTCACCATGTTTTACAGTACCGGTATCTATTATGGAACTGCAAAACTGTACCTAACAGCAGTAAATCCATGTCACCATGTTTTACAGTACCGGTATCTATTATGGAACTGCAAAACTGTACCTAACAGCAGTAAATCCATGTCACCATGTTTTACAGTATCTATTATGGAACTGCAAAACTGTACCTAACAGCCTAAAATTTACATGTATCTCATGTTTCAGTGAGATCAAGATTGAACAAAGTGAGAAGAAAGCAGCAGCTCTTCAAGATCAGCTGCGTGAGTCCAAAGATCAGAATGAACAACAAGAAAACAAACTCATCCTTCAGGAGCAAGAAATAAAAAATTTCAACAGTGATTTAAGGAAAAGGGAGTATGAAATTTCATCATTAAGAGATGAAGCTGAAGGTCTGCAAGGCAAACTAGTAAGTTTATCAATCACAAGAAAATATCCTGTCACATTAAACTTCTAAGAATATCTATCAAAATCATTAATTTTGAAATTATACAATTTGCTAATATAGATCATCTTATGTAAAGGGCATGGCTTACGCATCAGTATGCTATTCATTTGCTGTCAACGATCAAAATATTTTCGAAGCTGACCTATGAGCAAAATACCAATTATCAAGGCGGCAATGCAGGGCACGCCCTATATAGGCATGCTTCAAAGAACCTTTCAAAGCTGAATTTTTAACAGTTAGTGTAGATAGCCAACTCTTGTTCTTTGTTCTTCCTTCAGAAATATAAATAATAATGCATGTTTTTCTGATGAAAATAAATAATGTCTAGATGGAACATGAATTAAAAATTGCCACCCAACATACTAAATTCATATATGTATATAGTACACTTCATGAAGATTCCTAATTAATTGTAATTAATTGAATAAATATTTACAGTGGTTAGTAGCTGTCTAGTGAAACAATTTATGATCAGATAAAAATTTTTTCCATTTTTCATTGTAGAGAGAAGCTGACATCAGAATTGGAGACTGCGAGTCTGAAAGTGGGAGGCTCACCCGAGAAAATGATCTGCTCATATCCCAGCGTGATGACGCAGTGTCAGCTCTTGGCAAACGTGATGAGCAGATTATTGAGCTCAACAGAAAGCTGCAGATGGTTAGTATGAAATATATGCATAACTTTTAGAGAGCAAGAGCAATTTTCAATTTGACTGCACATATTGAGCAGATGAGCACCACCCTACATGTTCATTCTAGAAGTTTTTATTTCTATTCTTCTTCTTCTACTTCTTTGCTCTTCACAATTGAACCTTGATGCTTCTTGAAGCAAATTCTTGATGTTCAATAAATTTACTCCAGCCCCTAAACATAGCTAGGCTTTCTTAACATAAATTTTCACTACGCAGCTTTGGTGTAGATACATAAGAAATTTTAGGAAGGAAACAATCCTCCATGCTTTGTTTTTTCTTAGGCAAATAATTCATATTAACAATTCAAGGTAGTTTACCGTGTGTACCGGTATTGCTCGTTTCAGAGGCAATTGCGTGCAATATTATGGGTATTCTCATTCTTTGTGTTCCTGCTGAGTAAATACATAGCTCATGGTGTGTGGATCCCTGGTGAAAGAGTAGGCACTTTTTGTAGATTTAACAAGGAAATGAAATCAATGAAAGGATCAAGTCTGGATATGCATGAGTTCTCCTTTTGTGTGTTGCTTTGTGTGCCAATTAATGTTCACACTTGAAAATATTAACTTATTTTTCTCGATATTGAAAGTCACTAATATTTTTCAACTGCATGATAAGAGGGCTGTCACCTGGTTTGTTTGCAGATAACTTCAGTAATACAACCTACAGTTAACAATTTATTGTTCTCAGATTTGTTCAGTTTTATTGCCTCAGATGATCATTCTTTTCACAAAATGATCACTTTTTTTAAAGATCTTAGAAATGTTATTATTTCCTTATTAATTGATAATTTATTAACTACATCTCTCATAATTTTAGTGATACCATCACACATTCCTGCATTTTGATTATAAAACACTTTATTTTTTGACTGAAATTTCCATGAAATCTTTCAACACATGAAATTTTGAAAACATTTTTGTAGCCACTACTTGCCTTAGGGCTTAGAGTACATATACAAAATCTCTTGACAACATTAATTTGGCCTAGTAAAGGTTTCAAATACTGAAATAATGCTTCCCTTCTCTGTAAATTACTCAGATGACAGTTCACTCATATTATTTGAATAGCATTTTGTTACCTCACTCAAAGTATGCAAGTAACACTTCACTACTCTATTTGGATTACACTTTAATAGTACTTCACTTCTCTCAAAGTGCTCAAGTAGCATTCCATTTATCCCTTCAATTATGATAGTAATTGTAAAGTTTTCTCAACTACTCCTTGAAGCCTTTTAATAGCAATAGCTTCTTCTGTCAAAGTGTTATAGTGACTCTACAGGTCTTCCTTTATAATGGGTACTGTTTATAATGAGTGAAGAGGTGAGTTATTTGATTTCCTTTACAATTTATAGGGTTATTATTGATATGGCCTGCAGTTTTATAACCACACTTTGCTTCTGCACTTGTTCACTTCACTTTGACTTGATTTTACGCAATATTCAGTTGTTTAAAATTTGATTTTGCACATTCACTCAATGAATTGAGCTGATATTTTTTCAGGGATTATGGTGGTCTTAACTCTTAACAAACATAAGCAAATACTCAACCACTAATGGTTGTTCATGTATTAAGCTGCTTGTCTGAGTGTGTTTGACCAAAATCATCACTGACATTTACATAATCCTAGTGTGCAGTGGCAAAGAGGTAGAGATTGTGAGCACTGGCAACATTAATTCCCAGAAAATTTAGGAGACAACTAATCTCTAGCAGTAGGTAACAAGCTGTTAAATTCTCCATGTATTAAAATAACACTCCACAACTTTTCTTGAAAATTTTAAGAAACATCCCCTCCAATTATTATAATAATAATCCTCTACTCCCCTTAAAGTTTGCTAATAATACTCAATTACCTGCCTTAAAATTCTCAACTAACTTGATTGTTGTCACAAAATCATCTACTACACATTGAGTGTTGCTTGCACGATAGATCATCATACAAGAGATAAGTGGCCGCACAACTTCACAAGTGCCAGTATTATGATCATTGCAGGAGCGTGAGTGCAACAAGCAGCTTGATGCTAACTTGAGCGCTATGAACAGGCAGCTCGCCTCCTCCTCTGCCCGCTTATCCCAGGTAGCTTGGCTTGGATGTCTTTCATGTCAGACAGGAGGCATCATCCTTTAAAACCTTGTCATATTCACGAGTTTCTAAATTTTTAATTGACTAGAGGTGTAGAAACAGTTAATATTGAAGATAAGTGGATTAGTGCATGGTTTTTAGCATGGTAGTTTATGTATGAGATAAAACCCTTGTGTTCAAACCTGCATCAGAGCAGAAGATTGTCGTATGATGGAAATTAAAGAGAATAGGAAGTGCCAGGTAAATTCAGCATACATGCACAGGAGATATTTTGAGACTATACCTTGAAGTGGACTTTGTTAAAATATTTACATCAAAAGTGCTAATAATTTAATTCACTTTATTTTCTGTTGGAAAATTTTAATACTCTTTAGTCTGCTACTGAGCATTCAATAAACCAAAATTTAAAGGTTTATTTAAATATAGTTTATATAGACCATTGTGCATGGTTCAACAACCACTTGTTCTACTGATCAAATGTATGTTGCATCTGATTTTATGTATATCAATGCCTGTACACAATTGGAGTAGAATGCTGGATTTTACACATTCTTCTGCCCAGTTGTATAGTCTAGCTTGTAATGCTTAGAAAAAGCATAATTTTCTCAGAATTTTTGAGCTGCCTTTGGGTTCCATTCAACGTCAAGTGTACCAAAATGTTTGTCTTCAACATACTTGACCAATGTATGTCACTGGAGTGTGGATTGTGTGCTAGTAGTAGTTCCCTTTTAGATTTGTGAATATTTTTACAGTAATTGTTGGGCTTGGTGGAGTGAGGGGAACTTTTCAGTAGACTACAAAAATATGAGCTGGGTCAAGTCCAGAAAAGAACTAGACAAGCTCAAAATATGTTCATTAACATGCCTTCCATGAACTTCAGAGTTTTTAATATGGCCGGATACATACCACTTACTAATTTACAACTGACTTTATTAATGATGTTTATTGAAAATTATAATAATAATTTTCAGTTGAAACCTGTTCAAGAAATTTGAAGCAAATCTCTTCTTCTTGGTATCTTCATGCTTTGTTATGTACAACAATTCTTAGATCAGTGTTGCTTCTTTATTTTTGTGTGGCCTGACTGCATAGGACCTTTTGTTTTTGTCCACATTGCTCAATATTTTTCCATGTAATGCATATGGAGATGTGCACCTTATTTATGTGAACCTTATGACCCATTTATTAAATACTAATTTTGAATACTCAGCTTTATAAATATTTTGAAATACTACTGACAGTTACTGTAGTTGCATATGCAGTTTATAATGTTTTCTAAATGCTCTATAATAGGTTGTTTTAGCAGGCATATATTTTTATCTTCAATTTTTGTCATCTTGAATGTTGTTATACTTCTTTGTGATGGAGATTTCTTCTTAATCTTTTTTATGTCAGTGGCTCCTATGATCATTCGAATGTTTCAGAAATTAATGAGTGAAATTTGATTTTCCTGTTTCAAAAAAATGTTTTTAGTTATTAATGATCGTGCAATATAATAAACAATGGAGATGGTCCACACAAGAGCTGTTACTTATATTTAAATGCAGTTATGCAAATAATATATATTCTTAAATGCGGCTCCACCCAAATAAGTAGACATTGTATTTTGCTTCCTGTCTGGTCCGTGATTTTAGTGTATTCATATGCTTATGTTAATGTGTCTCTAATGTAGTTCCTATTTCTTGTAGATAGTAGAAATGGCCTGATTGAAGATCACACCAAATGTCTATGCTACATAAACTTGTAATAAATCTTTATATCATGGATAAGATGGAGACAGTTTATCAGTTGCACCTTAAGCATGATGGTTTAGTGGTCACTTAAGAATTAATTTATGATGTTAGTGAAATTAGAGACTAGGTCCTTAACCTGGAAGTTGTCTTTGTGTGTGATATTAGGGCAGCATTTTAAGCCTCCACATCCAAATATTTTCTGTGCCATGTGCTACCAAGGTCTTCATTTTCCTAATTAAATTTATTTCTGTATTTTGTAACTGTATTACATACATACTGTAACTATATTGTGGTCTTTAATGTGTTAAATATTATTTACCTACAGCTGCAAGAAAGGAATGGCAGACAAGAGCCACAACTCCAGCAGGAAGGGCATGTACCCAAGGTAGCTGTGGACAACCGACACAACTCTGACACAGGCGAGTCTTGCTTATTGTTCCATCGCTGCAACTGTGTCACGTCCAAAATGTTGTGATTTTGTAAAGTTGATTTTGTAAGGTTATAACTAAACTGTAATGAATTTATAATGTTATAATTATAACCAAACTGTAATGATTTTATAAAGTTGATTTTGTAAGGTTATAACCAAAATGTAATGATTTTATAAAGTTGATTTAAAAAGTTATAACCAAACTGTAATGATTTTATAAAGTTAAGTTATTCCTAACTCAGAGTTATTCTTGAGTCCTATTGATGCATATTTGTGGCATTCAAACTAACTAGTTACTAGTTGATCCCTCTTATTCCTGAATTTATTGATCAAACACAGGCTTGTAAAAAGTAATGAATATTAACCACAATGAATGAAACTAACGCAAAATCTTCGTGCAACTTTCAGGCACACCTAAAATAAATTGCTTCTATAGGTCCGTCAATACTGTAGTGCATAATACAACAAGAAGTAAGATACCACAGCAACTCTGATACTCTTATGTTCATGAAGATACTGGATAATTTTTGTTCTGCATCGTCCTATATTATGATGTATTAATGATTCTAATATTTATTTTGCTTTCAATATTACATGCACCAAGTTCAATGTCCTTGTATGTGTGGGTAACATGCATGTTCAATTATCTTTACTTTGATTTCAATGCTTGGGCTGATTGTTGCCTTTATATATAATAAGGGATGCTTTGTAAGTTTTTGATTTTAATTTCAATTTGTTGATTGTTGAATTAATTTTTGTTTGTTTTTAATTAATTAGCAAAATTATTTTTTTTAAATTAACAAAAATATTAATTTGAAAATTTTGTAAAATAATTGAACCGGGCTCATATTATAAAAACTTATGACCAGTGGGCATAGCCTGAAAAGCCATCAGTGATCAGCTGATGGAGTTTTGAGTTCATAACTGTCCATTGTGACATTGCTTACGACATTCAATTTTGGCCCGGCCTTCAAAAACTGTTATCAGATTTAATAAATTTCTGTTGCCATTGCAAGTAAACGAAAGTTATTTGCTAGTTTTGCGTCGCTGCTATATGGATTTTTCTGTTGGAGCTCAAAGATCTCAGACATGTCGGGGGATTGTGTTGATCATTAATTTCACCTCTTGTGCTGGCTACGGTAGGTTCGTTTTTAGGCTTCATAGTGGCTCTGCAATAGTGAATGTGTGACTCTCTGTGTCGTTTTATTTTAGTAAAATTCTTGTCAAGAACCCTGCTGGTATGAACAATCGCTGTAAATGATGATCTTTTGTGGTCATATGAATACTTCGAGCATAAACAGTGACTACACGCGTTCAGAATAGATTATATGCAAGGTATAGCACGACGCAGCTATAGGACATAGACAGGAACTACATAACTGGGTGTCGGCATACAGAGAGGCTGGGTCGGGGCCAGTTACCGGTGCTGCAGGACCTCTACAAAGTGCAGGCTAAAGTGCCGGGCATGCAGGGCATCGTTCGCCGCCCTCTGCCCACTATCATACGTGATCCTCCTGACGCGCCTAGACCTAAGCCGCGATACTCCTTGACCGGTCATATAGGTAGGCTTTGTTATCTCTTCACTTAGGTAGGCATTGTTATCACTTGACTTAGGCAGGCATTTGCTATCACTTCACTGTGGCATTGTTATCAGTTCATACTAGCATTGTTAACAGTTCAGTTCGGAAGGTATTGTTATCAGTTCAGTTCGGTAGGCCACGTTATCACTGCTCTCAGGTAGGCATTGTTATCAGTTAAGTTCAGTGTGCGGTGTTATCACTGCTCTTAGTAGGCATTGTTATCACAGTATTTAGGTAAGCAATGATATCGTTCAGCCACATTACTGAGACATAAGTATGATCTTACTTTTTGACATGGTTGTCAGTGATCCTCAATTCACAAACTTTTTCACTCAAACAAAATACTTTAAACTATTGCAACCACGGGAGCTTTAGTTTATAATGCTTGAAAATCCTAATATATTTATGTACATTATGTTATTTTTGTAAATACATTTATGCATGCAAGCTAGTTTACCAAAACCTGACGAGATTTTGGGAGTCCCAGGCTTTCGGGAAGGATTATGTTGGAATCATCAGCTGAGAACCCTTTATGCCCCTTATGTCGTGTGCAGCTTTCTGGTTTCCCTGCCTCGTACAGTTGTGTGTGGATTGTTGCTCACTGTGTGTGTGTTGGTCATTGTGTGTGTTGTTTAGTTGTGCGTCTGTGTGCTGCTTTTGCTTTGCTATAATTTTGATTATCCAAACTTTTTTATTTCAAAGTAGAGTTCCATCAATCGAGCCATAGATTAATATACTTGTAAGCGAATTTCAGAAATGGTTGGTAAGGAATATTATGAATGACTTCAATATATGAATAATTATCTGAAAGTGGGCGGTTATTCAGGTGGAGGAGAAGTGGGAGAGGCAGGGCACGACGCAGGCCAGGAGGTTGGGGTGGTGGCGAGGCCTGAGGCTCCCGACGCTGCAGGTGGTGACCGTCAATCGGACGCAGCGCTCGAGGAAAAGGTTTGCTCTGTTGCCGCCTTAGCTGTAAGAGCTCTCTTCTAAACTCTCTTCTTGTTCTAAACTCTCTCATGTACACGTAACGGCCTAAGATAAGTGTCGACAGACGCAGCGCTCGATGAAAAGGTTTGCTCTGTTGCTGCCGTTGCGGCAACAGCTCTCTTCTAAACTCTCTTCTTGTTCTAAACTCTCTCAAGTACACGTAACGGCCTGAGATAAGTGTCGACATAAATACAAGTAGCAGGCTAAGTAGACTTTTTGGCCGATTTCTTGTCTGTGATTGAAAGGCTTATATTAAAAATCCTTCATTGACTGGGTTACGGAGTTTCAAACTCGCAAGTTTTTTTTCTTATAATGCGACTCATGACACACTGGCTGTTACATGTCGGCAAACAAGAAAATTTATTAGTTGTCTAATTAATTTTTTAATTTGCTAATGCGCTTCCAGATTTCATGCAGTATCTCGTGATAATGCTGGTATCCATAATACTTGGCTGATCTCATCATAACGTGTTTATGGACCATATGAGTCGCAGGCCCGTTTTCACTTTTTGTCAAGGAAAACCTAGGACGAGCTTTAGATCAGACAGCGGAGTGTGGTTACGGCTAGAGATCTGCTTGAAAGATTTACAGGCGAACCTAGAGAACACGTCTGAGATCGAATCCAAGATTAAAACTGAGACTCTCGAAATAAAAACATGCGAAAAAATCAACAAAAAAGGCTACCTTGACATAAACCTAGTGTTGATTAATAACTCTGCAGCTTTGAATCCTAACAATTTAAAGTTATCACGACTTCTCGTACACAAATATGCAAGCACTTCAATTATATTAGCTAACAGCAAAAACCTAGCGTTCTCTTTATTAACTGATTCCTATTTATACGAGAACGCGCCGTATACATGAGTTGCCCATACGATACTAACCTAGCGTCACATCAGCGACGTTAGGTTAGGTCGCAGTCAACCCAATATAGTAAGAAAAACTAGTATAGTCAGTATACTATATCTAGTTGATCCCTACCAATATTAAATGAGGAAATTTATGCACTATGTTTTTAATATTAACCGTGAGAAGCATGGTATTATTTCATTGTCCGTGATACAATTTGCTGAGCAGGACGGGAACGCCGTGAACGTGCTGCCCGCCCCCGTCCCCGGCGTCGGTGTCCCTGGTTCGTAAATGAAATTCGTGTGTCGTGTTCATTATTCGTGTGTCGTGTTCCGTCCACTCTCTCATACAATACAATCATCACCTCCTTCCTCACTTTATCTTCTGTTTTTTTTTCTGTTTGTTGAGCTTGGAGAGTATCTTCACGATTTTATCTCAGTTGTAAGAAAGATCTGTTAGAAAACACTTAATCTCAACGTACTGTTTCATTAGTACGAGCTATTTCTTTGTCTTTAGGTCGTGCCAAAACACAATATGTGTTTTGGCACGACATAAATGTGGGTATATATTCATGATTGACTTTCATGCATGACTGCGTGTAAATGTGGGACCGTCATGCTCTAGGAATATTTTTGTGGTCGTCCTCTTGCTCTTTCCAAGCTTGAGTTACTTCGTCTAAACATCAAATATACAGCTAAATAAATATATAGCAATTTTCTCTATACTACCATCAAGTGAGCGCATGAGCACTAAATTTACTCTAATTGTTACATTCGCACGTCACGCATGCGGTAACAGTTATATTTTTGTGCTATGTGCAACTATGCATGTTCTTCGTTATTGTGTTATGCCAGAAGCTTATCAGTTATAGCATGAAGTTTACTGCTTCAAGTTCATTTCATTAGAAATTGGCGTGTTGTTTCTCCACTATGGAATGATCCATCGTGGTGCAATGTCTCGCACACTCGCATTACAGATACGCTACTCGAATGTATGTGTACGGGACTTTCTTCATACGACCAAGGTTGGAAATTGCGAAAGAAAATAGATAGAGAATCGGAAGAAAAGTCTGTGCATTTCTCGCAACCAAATTGTAACGCTTGGTTTGTGTACCGCAAGGGTGGGAACATCAAGACTTATGACTGTATGTGTAAAGCTTTTATTTGGTTTCAAGCTCTCCATTTTCTGGATACTTTTGTCTCTTTCCCGGGTGTTGAAGGGCAGGAGCGTTCTGGTGTCATGGTAAATGTGTTGAAAAATAGTGTATTCTTCATCGAAAATTTATCTCCAGCTTTTATCAAGTTTCTTCACCTTTTGGCTGCGTTACTTTGCTAGCTACCGTATCTCAAGGTTTCGGAACACTTACCTCGAATGCAAAATATTAAAAAGTATAATCATTTTCTGACTTCTGCTGGATGAAATCAGTTTTTAAATGGGAATATCGTTTATCCGGAAGAAAAGTTCATAAGAAATTTCCCGATATAATCGTCCACACAACATAGCCTTCCTCACATTCCTTTGTGCTAAGAACATTTGTGTTTCTTTACCTGGTGTTTGGAAAGTGAACTTCAGCAAGAGATCACAACATTGGCCGAGTCTATGAGTAAAAATTGTCAGGATGTCGTCTACACGTTGTCTATTTATCCCAGGATGTATACACGATGAATAAACTTGAGATGAATGGCGAATGCGGTAAAATTTATGTCTTTCATATGAAGCTTGACGGCCTGTCTTGCCCGCCGCTGTCTGCTTGGTGGTGGTGGCGGTGATGGGGTGGTGGTGGTGGTAGTGGTGTAGGTGGTGGCAGTGGTAGTGGTGGTAGTAGTGGTTCCCTTCCATCATGAGCGGCATCACGGCGCGGTATCCATTGTAAATATCTCATTCAACTAACCGGCTTTATTTCTGTTGAAATAAATGATGCTATCCATGTATGATAATTTGCGTACCTATAACTGAATTTCTCATGCCAATTGTTGAGAGTTCGTATGCAAACAGATATTTGATTGAATTCAGAGACTTTTTTTGTTTGAAAACTGCATTTGTTGTAAAATGCAACCAAGTTTTAGTTCGAAATAATGTAATTTCGTGACGGGATCACTACCGTATCAAAAAAGGATAGGTACGAAACATACCCTAGCACCCCATTTGTAGTTGTACGATCTCCGCGCTTGACCAAAATTTGAGTGGCTGTGTTGCAGTGTTAGGCAGTCAGCAGGACGCAGTTCTCCCCGCGCCCGGCGTGCGCAGTAGCAAGGCTTCTTCGCCTTCGCCTGCGTCGCCGTCATCACTTCAGCTCCCACACGCCGCTGCGGCCCCACAAGACGTGGCATTACTACAGCCCGTCAGCAGGAGCAGCACTCGAGGTGCCAATGCTCTCTTGCTGAACCCTCACTTGCCTCTGCAACAGAATGGTGGCTTCATCCCGCCCCCTCCCGGGGCCAAGCATGACCAAATCCATCTCCCTATTGAATCTTTGAGAATGGAAAACATGGGAAACCAGATGGTCATTGGCAGAAATTTTTTGAAAGCGGTACCTAATGTTCCCATTAATCGCACGTTGCCGTTACAATATCATGGTGTAGATCTTCCGTCTGATCTGCAACCTCCCGTTTACGAACCGCCGTTCGTCAACCGGCATTTTGAGCCGCTTCAGAGTTATGTCCATATACCACCTCGAACTTTTGACCACATGCCGCCTCAGGATAAGGAAGAACTTCAGCGCCTTGAGGAACTACACAAACTGCAGCGTGAACAGCAGCAACAATACGAACGTCATCAGCAGCATCGGTTACAGCAGCCACACGACGCCACCCAGAGCCGTGTTAACGAAAACTTTGGCCACTTGGACAACTTCGTTGCTATCGGCCAAGACCCAGATAAGAACGCCCGCAAACCGCTGCCTCGTGACGCCATAGATTTGAGTCTCTACCACAACAGGGCCGACTATCCTGAACTGCGTCAGGCAGTGTCGCTTCTGAGGGGCGACAGGCAAGGTCGAGCTGCCGACTTGACTGGCGGACGCCGAGTCTTGACAGGTGGGCTGACTTGACTGACTGTGACGATAACGACTTGCGGTGCCTGATTCGACTTGAGTGGCGGTGTCGAATTTTGACAAGCGCCGTGCCAGCCTAACAAGCCTCTGCTTGACGGCCGGTCTGGCTATCGAAAAATGTCTGATATTCCTATTTATAATCTTTAGATTATTTCAATAGGAGGGAAATATTCTTGCTGCAAACATTGTTATGTTTACTTTGGAGGATCCCACGCAAGGTCCGGTATTTGGATTTTTACATTACGCCCGGTAGACAGCCAGTACTTAAGAAACTACTGAGCGGCATTCCAAGTTGCACAATCTATACCTACTAATTCGCATATATTTTTTTAGCGTTTTTTGTGGGTGCTGCTTATTTTTTTACTTAATCGTATCTATTACCATGTTTGTTTTGAAGTTTTGTTGTGTCTTTTACGTCACTAGTTTATATTCCATAACATCGTAATATTCTTTCTCAAAAAACTTATAGATTTTTAAACTTTGTCCAAATTTCGAACTTGGTGTGTGAAGATTTTATCGAACTAACCCAAGAAGTTGATGTCGTCGTTGGAACTCTCACCGTTGCTTGCACCACCACGTCTTCGAGTTTTTGGTGGTGCTATTTGTTGTCGCCTCGTTTTGGAGTTTTGCGTATGTTCTGATATGGTGGTTCTGATATGGAACATAACCTTGTGTTCTAGTTAAACTTAAGGCTGTATTAGATATTTTCAAGTAATCACGGTGATCCCAAGTTTCAAGATGATCTCGAACTCGAGTTCAATAACAATTATTGTTGCCTGCATTATAGTTCAGTTTGAATCTTCGTGGATATTAATTGACAAATGAACGATATCTGGGTGTTGTTCAATTCTTCTGTTTCTGAAATTTATAAGCATTTACGTCGTTTGGAGTTTAATTCAAAGCCTTTCATTTTTGTTTTGCTGTGTGTCGTTATTTTGTGTGGATTTGAATTTTTGTTTGCAATCTTTTGGATCGGCTTTTTAGTGCCCGAAACAGATGTAATTTTTTTTCTGCAGTTCTAATCGTTCAACTCGCTTGATTAGCTGCGTAAATTTTGAATTCTATTTATCCTTTAATTGTATTGCTAGTTTATGCTTGCTGAGATATCCTCGAAGAGCGTTGTTCCCATTCGACCAACAAAACTGTTTTTCTAAAGAATTGAACTATTCGTGGGTTTCTTAACTTGAATAGTAATTTTCTGCAAAATGAAACGCGTATGTACCAATTATTTTGCAAATTGATCGCATGCTTGTGTAGTTTCTCCGTTGTGCACGATTCACACCTAACCTTGTCTATTGGTATGTAACAACTTAGAATTGTCTCCTCGTTTATGTGTTCATCATTATACCGTGAAAGGTTATGGGTTGCCTCTATCTTCGAGTCATATAATTGAGTAATGTTTATTAAATTTGGCTTGTAATCAATGGACAGATATGGTATTGTGTCAGCGACTCTCCGACGGCCCTCAATATAGGTAATTCATAGTTTGATAGTACGAGCATTCAAATCGGACCACTCATGATGTGCTCGCAATTAATTGACTTGTTTTGAGTTTTAGGGAAAATAAATGCTGCTATTATCGCCACAATCAATAGTTGGATCAATTTTTAGCAGTATACTGCAGCTTAATGATGATTGTGCCAGATGGTTTTTCCACTAAAATTGATATCGCGTCGCTCGGTTCACTAAGTGAGTTACGAGCCTGATACGAACATTTCGTTGTCCCGCGTTAGCAAATTTTATGGCAAAAATTTTAATTTTTTCTTTGGTTACATAAAATTTATAGGGAGCAAAGTAATGTCTCACAGTATCTTGTACGTGGATACGTAGTCGTTGCAATCGTTGATATTGTTCAACTCTTCTTTACGTGCCTAATACCGACAGCGCTGAATTGCATCGCTGCTCAGAAATAGGACAGTAGTTCATGATCGGTTCCTTGTTCGATGAAATATTTTAAGAGTTTCTTACAGTCTTTGATTAGTTTGGTACGGGCACTAAAGTAAAATGAAAGGCTTGTGTAATGTCAGACCCACGCATTACAGGCGGCGACAAGGCTCCGGCGCACCAGCCCCCCAACGATGTACTGCCTCCGCCTCCAGACTTCAGCGGTAAATACCTTAGCTGTTTACTGCCTCTTGTGTCCTTATAGAGTATCACGTTATGTTCAAAAAAGAAATTAAAACAATTAAGTCGTGTCTACATAATGCAGACTGCGTCTTGTGCTGACACTTTCGCCAATTACTGTTCGTATGTCTGTTAATGTATATCGTGCTGTTATCTAATAATTTTCGTTTTATGTTTAGAATAAATGGATGCACAGCTTTGAATTTTTTTTGCAAACTTGAGCCTCTGATTACTGCTTATGATCCTGAAGTTTCAAACTTGGACAGTTTTTCGCATCTTATAATTAAACAGAATTATGTAAAAAAATCACGTTTGATTCGATTTAAAAAACCGAATGTACGCGAATTAGATTAGCACAGAAGCAAAAATGACCTTAAACATTGTCTTTTAGTCTGATATGAAATTGTTACTTACACTATTGTTACTTACTCAATTTGCAACTGTATTCAATCAGTATTTTACTACCGAAATTTTAATTGTGTTACTTACACTTACAGTACGATAGTTGATAGTTTTCTCCGTATGAAAGCGTAAAAAGTATGTGTGCGTAGTAGGTATGTCTTTACGCACTTCTTACTTCTGAAGTTTATTCTTATAATTCGATATTTATGCCAGTTACCCGCACTAAACATGCCACTTTGTACTACGTTATCCTGTGAAGCTAAAATCATTATTTCATCGTAACTTGCTTGCGTGTAATGTTGCTGTAGCCAACCTCTAATGTGATGCCGTCTTATGCCTTACACGCAGCTGCTGGAAGAGCGCGAGGTGAGTGTAGACTAGCACTAGCAGGGTGCTGTAGCAGGGCGCTGTAGCAGGGTGATGTAGCAGGGTGCTGTAGCAGGGCACTGTAGCAGGGTGATGTAGCAGGGTGCTGTAGCAGGGTGCTGTAGCAGGGTGCTGTAGCAGGGTGCTGTAGCAGGGTGCTGTAGCAGGACTTGTCCCTGATCTTGACCTTGTCCCTGATCTTGACCTTGTCCCTGATCTTGACTTTGTCCCTGATCTTGACCTTATCCCTGATCTTGACCTTGCCCATGATCTTGACCTTGTCCTTGATATTGACCTTGTCCCTGATCTATGACGTTTACCTTGTCCCTGATCTTGATCAAGGCCTTGGTCATGTTCGGAACCTTGGCCTTGACTCCAGTCGGTTCATTGAACTAGGAAACTCCGTCCTGTTCGTCGTTTGTACAGTTCGCGACTTTCCGTTCTAGATCGACATCGCGCGATGGTAGTCGCAGCAAAGCATGGCAGAGACATGAATTCCAGGCTTAAAGCAGACAATATAGTGGGGGAGAGAAAAGGACTCATCATTGTCAAAGAAACGGCAAGGAATGGTGGTGACGACGAGCAAGGTGATGATGAAGATGAAGACGATGACTATGACGTAGTTCATGACTCAGAAATTCGACGCGGGAACTCTGAAAATGTTGTCAGAAGTGACGTAAATATTAGGCGTGGTGAAGACTACGTTGGTCACGACTCGTCGGTTCGACGAGACCAACCTTCCAACTCCAGGCGCCCAAACGATAGTGTCAGGGTGCAGGCTATGGTTGGACGGAAAGCGGACGCGATTAATAAGAAAAAATATGATGAGAATTCAAACTATTTTGGAAATGAAATAGATGAAAAAGACGAGGAGCTCCGGCGAATCAATTTTATGGCGCAAGAAAGAGCCCGGAGACTTCGAGAGCAAACGAAGAAAAGGGAAGAAGAATTGCTGAAGCTTCGCATGCGAAAACAGTTTTTGGTTGAAGCCAACAAGATTCAATCGCATCGACCTGCAATGAATGGTGTTGGGGATGAAAAGGTTGCAGACACTCGACATTCTGAAACGCGTAGAGAAAAAGTCAACGTGAAGAAACCCGGACATCTGTTGAAAAGAACCCATGCTTTGAACAACAACGAAATTCCCATCGATGACGACACTCACACTGCAGATCGCCATCAGGATAACGATGATGGAGACGATCGGTTTCCAGCGCGTAATGTCCCCGTGGGAAAGAATTTTGCAAATTTTCCAGGGTCGAATGACGATTCAAACTTTCTCATCAGGAATGGCGACCCTCCCGACCATATACTTGCGATGCGTCCTCAACACCAAACCCGCTACTCCCAGGACGGCATTGCAGAAAAAGTCCTTCCCGAGGGATTTGACTCCGTGGTTGCATCGCTCCGCAAGTCCCGCGACGGCAAGCGGAGCTTTGGTCGGAGGAACGTGCTTGGTGTTCCTGGAAATAATAAATCGAAGGCTATCTTGTCTACTCCGATGGAGTCTCAATCTCAACTTGTGGTCCACGATCAGAGCAACGTCCCTGTCAAAACAAACCTAACGTATCTTATTAAGGATAGTCGGGTGAAAGACGCGCCGCACATAGGAGAAAAGAAGCTGGGTTATGGCATTGATGTCCAAAGTGGAAATTTCAAACGGAATGCATCATCTCTTGCTTCTAAAATCTTAAAATTTGGTAACAAAGTAACGATATCGGCTTCTGAGACGCGAACGATTGAAAACCGCTTTCACAATCCTGCACAAAGTGACAACTCCAGTAAAGTAAATGAACTCGCAAAGGAACACGAAGTCCATGCCTCTACTTCTGTCCCATTCTTGAGTACCGAAAGCTTGCCAACTACGGAAAGTGAAGAGTCTCGTTGGCAACGGATTGAATACAATGGTTTGAATAGGGATGAAGAGAACGACACGCTTCAAAATCATTCGCCGGAAATTTCTAATCTGACCAGATCGCATCCATCCAGAAGCGGACAGAATTACGGCGCTGGGTCTGAGCCTGGAGGACTCTATCTTGTTCACAATGTCCCTCGAATGGACGATAACCGTGCTTATCAGCGAGACAAAAAGCCTGTGAGGTCTAGTAAATTTTTCTCCCCAGTCGGGACGCCTGAAAAGCGTTTCAAGTCTTCTCGTGCTCAAGGAAGTCGCAAAATAGGCGCCAAATCGCGAATTGAAAATCAGTCTTTGAAAGAATCTAGCCCTGTTAATCTGAGCGGTATTGTTCGTTCGAGGGAAGTTCTTCCTGCGGACAAATCTCGCCCAGTTAATCGAAGTGGAACTGTTCACCCGATTGAAAGCATGCCTACGGAAGAATCTCATCGAGTTAACCGGCGTGGAACTGTTCGTCCGATAGATCGTATGATATCTCGCCAAGAAACTAGCTCTGAAGATGTAAAGAAAAGCGTTGTTGCTGTTGCGGCATCTGCTTCTATCGGCCCTACTTTGAAGAAACGAGGCGAAGCGAATTCAAAGTCTCCATCGCAAATGACCCGCGACTTCAAGTCAGGTGCTGGCTCAGAAGTGCAGCTCGTTGACAAAAAGCTGGAACAAGCAGTACATGCACCCAGTCCCGAGGTTGCTATACGTCGAACAGAAAGGAAAGGTGAAAAGTCTAAATTTACCGGTGAAGCTGCAGACAAAGCAGGTGGAGATATGCAGCTGACGAAGAAGGTAAAGGAGATCGCTCTTCACTTCATTTGCACTGCACTCGTCAGCACTCAGCAGTTATTTGGAGTGTTACACTTGCTGGCTCGAGACTCATGTCAGCAGTTTATATTAAAGACGAACTGTAGATAAATCACTTCGCGTGGAACAGTATAATAACAAATATTTACAAATAATCTCGTATGTGCATTTTCATCAATAGAAGTGCATTCACTGAGTGTGAATAGTGAGTGTACCGTATGCTTCATGTCACACAGATTATAATGTGCTTGTGATTGGCTATACCCTGCATCTTCGTTTAAATGTCCACAAATGAAACCATGTTTCCCACGTGAGTATATTTGAACTTTTGTGTGTTTACCTTGTTGCAATTTCCCCGTGAAATCCGCCTGAAAAATGTGAATATTGCGCCCCGCCGTCTAACACAGGACGTGATGTCTCATGCGCGATATCCTTTGTGGTGGTCAACCTCGACTCTAGCGTGTGTTATATCTGTCACTCATCTGTGCTCTGTATGCCGCTCACGTGTGTTTTGTATACCACTCACGTGTGTTCTGTATACCACTCGCGCGTGTTCTGTATACCACTCACGTGTTTTCTGTATACCACTCGCGTGTGTTTTGTATACCACTCGCGTGTGTTTTGTATACCACCCTTGCTTCTTCCTAATGAATCTTTCTAAGTAAAGAGTGTCTTTATGTCTCCAAGCTCTTGACAGCTGACCATTTTTAAATTTTTTTACGAAATTCTGCTGTTCATTTATGGTTTGAACTTCTCTGTTCGCGCCTCCTATTGTTTACGTCTCTATCTCTGCATTTATGCAGAATTTTCGATGAACATCTCGAGTTTTTAGAACGTCTTTTTGTGATATGATGGTGCGAATTAAAAAAACTCATATAAGTAAGCTACCATTCACTAATCGGATATGGAATTAAATCCCTAAATTGTTTTAAATCCCACCACAACGAATTACCAGGATTGCCGTACAAATTTGAATAATATGTATATTTTGATGCCCACATTTCGATAGTCCTATTTTAAAATTCACTATTTGGTACTCGCATTTTGATAATCATGTTTTGATGGACATATTTTGGCGTTCGATGACGACGTTCAAATGAGGGTAGAATGCTGATGTATCATTCGCCATCTATTATTCACTGAATTAGTTACCGACGTTTTTTGCGCTCGTCTTTGTGTGGAAAGATTTGATGTGAGCCTTTCTTATTTGCATGATCCTATTTATGTTGATCGCATTTCCTCTTAGAAATATAATCCATATCGTCCTGGCACCGAACTTTGTACAATTTCATGTGTAACTCTCGCATATAAAGGCAATGCAATATCATAAATGTTTTTTGCAGTGATGTACTACACTATGAATAACAGCTCCTCTTATAATCAGGTTCAGCTATAGCCCTGCACTCCACGAATTTTTTAAATTGAGAGTGCCGGGTTACTGTCAGTTTAAAATCTTGTTGTAAAATCACCTATTGTTTTGGTTCTCATATGACAACGGTCAGATTTGAGGCTAGCGGCACGGACACGCTGGTGTCGCTCTCGCTGCTTTAATGTCATGTGTTAGCGTCAAGTGTGACGATGTTGATATAAGATACAAACAATGATGCTGGACATGACCGGCATCGTGTCACTGGTGATTTTTGACGTCATTTTTAACGATGTTGATATTTTTTATTGTGTTGCCGTCGTGTGATACCATGTTAGCGACTTGTGTGACGACGTTGATTTGTTTGCAGATAACTTGGACGCAGCAATAGACGAAGGGGAGCCGCTTGGAGACGACCCCCTGATGCCGGATCAGGACCCCGACGGAGGCGACGGCGCCCCCAACGATGAGGCGCTGCAGGACCACCGCCTGCACGAGGACCGCGTGCACGACGAGGCGCTCAACAGAGTGGCACGGGCCGCGGCACCTCGTAAGGACGGCGTCGGGCCTGACGAGGGCTCGAAGGGGATGATGGCTACCAGGGGCGGAGGTGGTTTGAGGAGCGGCAATGGGGCTAAGGATGAGAAAGGGTCGAGAGCTGGCAGCGAATTAGAGGCCGGTAATAATGTGAGGGATGATAACGCTTTAAGGGCTGTTCAAGGGGCTCAAAATTCGGGTGTTGAAGATGCTGGACACGATCTAAATAAAGCGTCGCTCGTAGACAAACTTGACCAAAATTTGAGAGGGGATAAGGAAGAAGACGATTTACAGGTGCAAGATTTAATTGGTGACCGCAAAGCAGCTGGCAATGAATTTTTCGCCAATGTTCAGGGCGCGTCTGTTGTAAAAGCCGCTGACGTTGGAGACGAGGCTGACGATGTCGTTGGTGAACGTCAGGTCATCGAGGACGCTGCTGTCGACGATGAACCTGAACTTGGGGCCGATGAAGAAAGAGTGGACGGGTTTGGGAACAAATTAGGGAAAGAGAGTTTTGTGGACGGTGCAGGGGATGTCATCAATAAGGACAAAGGGCGGGCTGGTGATGTGGACTACCACCTTCAGGAGAACGTCGGGGAGAGCCCCAACTTGGGGGAAAGTTTGAACGCCCCTGAAGGGGAGGAAGAAGAGGGGGATTTTAAGCTCGAGCCTCGGAGGGAGGATGTCCCTATTAGAATATCTGCGTGATCAAATATATAATTATATGATAAGTTATTTCTTACTCGCTTACGAAGTCCAATGTTTAGCTTCATCGTTGTGGAACATTAGACAACTCGTACCTTTACTGTACATTAATCTAATGAATTTCAGTGTTATAAATATGTTGGAAATTAGAGTATACAAGATCAATATTGCGGAGGCAATTATGAGACTGTTGCTCTTGGATCTTCGCATAATGAGAGCCTATTTTTTTCTTATTATTTGCCTTGCTTTCGATCAATAGTCGCATACAAGTTTTTTTGCGTGTGTGAATATTGAAATGTTATGTTAAATTAAAAATACAAGATATGATTCAATTTTATATACGTAATATTTTATCGATGCACAAGAATTTAATATAAAAAATACAAATTTACAACAATATGAATAAATAATTTATGCAGATTCAATTATTTAAGAGCCGAACGCCTTCAGCACTGTGGACATGAATCCCTAAAACCTGAAAGCAGACCCACGACTTGTCTATTGGTCATAAATAAGAGCCGCTCTCTTATCATCAACGCTGCGGCTTCCTGACCAGTCGGCCTCACTGTTCATGATTGACCAGTAATTGCTATTGTTGTACTAGCGATTTTAAATTGCTTTGTTAGAGTCATTGGCGGTAATACCGTTCTTGTATTGAGTGAAGAAGAGCTTTCTACCCAATAATTAAACCGGTTCTATTAAAACTTTCATGAAATTAGTTGGGTCTTCACTAAAGTTTGAAATAACTAAAGATCACTTGTTAATGTTATGGGAAATTAATTTCGCATTTGCTTGAAATTAATTTTGCCTCTCAATATATTGTAAAATAAAGGTAGCAGTCTTTTGCTGCGTTACCGATGATCTTGGATCCTACCGCGACCTGTTTTAACGAGCACATCAAGGCGCCTTTGGTGCGAGTATTTTTACGCTTTTGCTTGCCTTTCAGTCTATGATTATAATATTCGTGCAATTGTTATCGGTGTGCCTGCCGGTATGGCAGTATGGCGGCCTGCTTTTATGGCTGCCATAGCAGTCGCTTGATTTCAATCCAGTTAATGTTTGTAGAGACCAGCAGCGTCTGCAGCAGATGCTACTGCTTCTGTGAGGTAAGCCGAGACATGCTCAGCTGCTCTCGCATTCTTTTCACCTTAAACCAGAAATCGAAACATGATGTTAAACTTAGAATTGAGGGAGCTTGTCAAGTTCTCGCACTTCAAATTCATTAACACATTTTCGTATGTTCGTCGGCTTTGAGCTTGGCGCAGGACATGTGTTGACAGCTAAATTATAAATGTTAATTGACAGCTACGAACACTAGATATTATTTCTGCAAGTCTTCACCTTCAGCTGTGTGCAAGATCGATGTTAATGCTCGAACTAATGTAACTATTATGTTCAATATTTAAACAATATCAATTTTTATAATGCAATTCACAAATTTTCTTGGTTTGCCTCCCATTATAAGCAATTAAATATTTGCTAATGTTATATCTACCTGAAGTGTCGATATTTGTTATGGTTGAGAGTGTGTGCGCTTCAATGTTTCTTAATTCTCATGAATAATTTTAACCTTCATTTCTGTATTGGTCTGTTATAGCAATGACCTCACTCGTGGTTGTGATACTTCAGAGTTTAGGAAATGAGCATCAGCTCTTATATTGTATTTATTAGATCGGTTACAATTGCAGTTGTAATATCTGTAGGAAAATTAATTTATTGTCCTGTGCATTATTTTTCTTATTTAAACATATTTCAGAATTTCTGTATTTTATACATCAATGAGTGATTTCGTTTGGAGAAATGTGAGTTTTTCGTAGCCAATTAGTTATTGTGGGCTGTGTTCGTGATATTGTGGAAGACACGTCATATGTTTTGTGTTTTTATTATTCAGGTATGAAAACCTTGTGATGAAAGTTTTTTATATGCCATTTATTGTTTAGTTTTGCTTGCCTACGCGTTGTTGCCAAGGTACGGAATGTCTTATTGGCTTAAGCTTATGTTTTCCTTGTGAACAAACACTAATTTTAATTATTCCTAAATGCGTACAAGTAATTTTCCCCATTGCTTACAAGCAACGCTAATTAAATCAATTCCATTATTTGCGCGATCATCGGCTAAATTTTTTTTTTTTTAGTTGAGGTTTTTTTTTCACGGCACTGTGACGGCATAAGAAATGCGGTTATGCTTTACTTGACTCGATCTAGCCATGAACGTGAGTTTTTATTCGACAACCTTCACGATTTTATTTTATATCAAGGCAAGTAGTGAAGGAGCAAGATTCATGATTTAATCATATATTCAGGCACGTAGTGAAGAAGCAAGATTTATGGTTTTAAAAATTTTTTAACACTCCTACTGACCAAAATATTAATTCAATTATTTAATTGAAAAATTATTGATGGTAAACAATTTTAATGGTTTTAACGGGTTTTCAACATAATTAATAACTTAACTAGTTTTCAAGTCACACCATCAACGCCAAATTGCCTTGCACGCTCAGGTCGTCTGTGCTTCTTCATTTCGTAAACACAACTTTCGTGATGTCACTTAAGGAATATACGAAGAAAATATAAGTTCTCTTCACTTTTTCTTCGTTTTTTTTTATCTTGCTCTGTAACTACTTATGCTATACGAAATAATCGAGTGTTTGCACACTTTCCAGACCGCTTGTTTCATTTCCTCATATAGTTACTATATTGAGGCACTATAATGCGTCACCTTCTAGAGGCGAAATAAGTATCGCAAAAAAGCAAATGATTAGTATTCATAATCATTGAAATGATCACTAGCTAGCTACGGTGCTGAGGATAGCCCGTAGGATCACTACGTTAGAACAGGACGTCCTTGCAGGATTGCAGGCTGTCAGGTCCTATGCCTGACAGCGGCTGACGTTCAACAGACGCGCCGGCATGCTGGCCGTGTTGCTGATAAGCGCTGACCTGTGCCAGCGCAGCTCGTGGCGCCAGCAGTGACGCGAGCACGCATCCATTCAGCGATCAAACACCACGTCACGTCGCCAAGTATTTTTCTCGTAGTGAATAAATGAAAATTCACACATAATCCATAGGTGTCATTTTATCTACACATAATGCAGACAGTCACAATTAAGAGCTTCTGAATGCGCTGATGCATTGCACCGTGCAAAGATGTACCAAAATGCACAAAGATGTACCACACAAAAATATAATACCCAACACATCTATCGCGCAGCACGGAAGTGCTTTGCCCAACACCAGATATCTCGTGCAGTACCAAAGTACTAAGCCTATCAGATTATATGGCCTGACATCCGCGACCCGGAATGTAAGCGATGCATGATACCGGCGAGATCCTCTAGCACGAAAGTCTAACGTCTCAAATGGATATAAAAAATAAGATTAAGCACATCGTGTCGGCTGCTACAAAGCCTTCTTCCCTGTTCGCGATCAATGCTTCGAAGAGTACAACTCCACTGGAAACGAAACGGAGAAAATGATAGTTTTTTAATATTCATGAAACGCGGGAGACATGACATTTGACCCAGGGGCATAAACGTTAACCGGAGACTTATCTTAGAAACTTAGGCGAACAATAAACAACGCATGTCGTCAGATAAGTTCTCGGCGTTTAGAACTTCAGTGGTACACCTAATATACAATGAGTAGAACTAACAGGCTTGTGGTGCTAGTTAAACTCAAACTTTATATAAATTCTTGAATGCGATTTTTAAACCGCCATGATAAAATAATTCATGACTAAATTAGTAGTGTATTATAAAGTAATGTTATTATAGTGGAGTTGTTTGTATGCAATTAACTAAAGGGCCGTAAGAACTGCGGTGACTGTAATGGTTATCCTGGGAAGAGAAAGCGTCGACTGTGAAATGTGCTCATGTTTTTATGTCATCTCAATGTTGGATGTAAGTTCGATAGCGAAAAGTTCATGATAAAAGATTTTGGAGTTTATGGCAAGTATGAGTTTAAAAGTTATACGAATATTGAAAGCATGTTGATGAATCAAATATGCTGCTTGGACTGATTAGACGCTATTATACGAGTCCCATGGGTGCACTATCTATGCAGCCATTGTTCATTGTTCGTAGCTCTCGTGCGCCCGCAACTATAGTTTAAAAGGCCATGTAGTTACCGAAACTTGAAAATGACAAAAATTAGTCGTGAGTGCTCAAAGACGTGCAATAAGGATAATTCCACAAGGAATTTAAAAGCAAAGAAAACGCCAAGAAAATTCACCATATCGATATTGAAAACGTTTCGGAGTCCAGCTCCATCATCAGTTCGACTAAACTAAAAATGAATAAAATCACTTTAAAAGTCAAAATTCAAAGACAGACATAAAACCTAAACAAGACCTAACATTATATCGAAATAAACAGGACTAGTTATGAACAACTTAGTCCT